ATTAGTACTCAGTTCTCGTGTGCAGTGTGTAAGTGGGTATGGGTACGTACGATAGCGTCACGGAGATCGGCCGGTAGAGGTGCGGCATATGCAAGCGGGAGAGCTGAGGTTCAAAGCGTGTCTGTCAGAAAGCGGAAAAAACGAACGACGTGTGGGTGATTACGGAAGTGCAGCTCTTGAAACACATGTCTATACGTCGCCCTAGGGCAATAGCAGGCAGTACGGGCGCCCCGAGAAGGATCCCATCTTGCGCAATAGCAACTCGAAGGTGGCGAAGAGCAAGTACCGGTAAAAATACTCACCTCCCACGAGAAACGCCGAGATCGCGAAGGTAGGTGTAAGAATAAAAGTGACCATGTCGTCCAGTAACCGAAGGAGACAGAGAGGCGAACGAAGAATGGCAAGGCTCACTGTGTGGCACAGGACAGTATGGCAAGGTGATGGGACCTGGCCTCCGGACTCCCACACCTGCCTTGTGTTCACTTATACTGTGGCCCTGGCCGAGGTAGGTGTAGGGCGGTCTGCTGGAGCTCAAACGTTTGGTTCAGAAAGGAAACCTCCGAGAAGACTCTATGGCTACTACTTAGAGATAGAGCACCTTAGGCTTTCCGATGGTAACGCGGGCGCTGTTTCCCAGAGCTGTACGGAGGGCATGGAGGGATACGCGAGATGTATCGGTCGGGTGAGATTCATATGGCTCTTGAGGGTGGGATGCATCATGATCAGCTCTGGACTTCATGCCCTCCTTCCTAGTACGTACGCGCGCTCTCATTATAGTTGCCTGATTTGGACAGTAGTTTGTGTTCGTAGACCCAATCTAGCGCCCGAATCTGGAGGCAAACGCCGATGCGTGAGGCAGCCCTTGTTCCGAACTACGACAACCGTTCACCTCCCGAGTGGGACGACCCCGCTTCCATCATCAATCTCTACCCCGCCTAGCACTATGCAATATCAGAACATTGCAGGCGTAGAATGCGTGAAGACCGCTCGATATTGGCCAGCACACTCGAAGTCCATAGGCACACGCCACCATCGCAAGGTCTACTACGTACATATGTTCTGTACCATTCCCCGATCCCGCGATCACACCACTTGACTTGGACGTAGGGTACCACAGTATGTCTCCCCTCAACCGTACATTCACTCTATAGCAAGATTGACCATATTGTCAGGTGTTCAGTGAGTGCTGACTGGCCGATGCAAGCGATGGAGTGTCCGTACACACGGGAGCACACGTTGCACTGTCGAGGTTCCTGAGATAGAGAGAGACTCCGAGGCCACATCGCGAAGCACCCTCTATGAATTGAACTACAACGATGACTAAATTGGGCAGTTTGGACGCCATATCAATGTCGTAAGCTGTCGCGCCTGCCAAGTCCGGCGTGCGTTGTTGCATCTGTGTCGACTTCCTGCTATAAGCTCACCGCCCAAATAGGTGGTAGGGTGCGCCGAACATGCCGTCAGGCACTTCCCCGCCGAATCCAGCCGGTGTTCTATGCAGACCCTGTTTCCTATTTCGTCGCAGTGTTTATACGCTCCATAGAGGGGTGTAGGTCTCCAATGCGACGTCGTTGCAGTCGAGTATAAGACGTACCCGAGCCTTTGGCAGGTCAGCAGCAGCACACTGCAGGAGGTCTTTCTCCTTCACACTCTTCACGGTCCTCACTTCGATCTCCAATCCTCTCCACTTCTTCACTTCGCGACCCTAGCCAAAATGGTCCAGACGTTCATTCTCACCCGCTCCTTCGCCATCTCTGCGCTTGTCGTCGGTGGTACGTGTAGTCATTAGTGGCTCCGCCTCATCAAGGTGCTGATCTCCGTGACTAGCCTTTCCCGTCGCATACGCCGCGCCCGTCCCCAAGGTCGTAGTTCACGAAGCGGTATGTCTTCTTCCTTGCTTCTAGCTCAAGGGTTTGTGACTGACCCCGCAACAGAGGCACGATCCTCGTGGGTGCCGTTTGATGGGATGCCTCTACGCTCTTCCGACCGGACAGGAAGACGTACGTCTCTGCTCGTAGACATACTCCGTCGCACCTCTGATCAATTGCATAATTACAGACCAACGCCACGAACAGCGCTAGCGTGACGACATCCCAGACGACGCTGTCGACAGACTCACTACAAGTCATCGACTTCCTCATTTCCACTCTGACCTCCGCGCGCAATTCACTGAGCTCGTCATCTACATCCACGAGCGCGGTGACGGTAGACGCAGTAGTGCCTTCTGTCGACATCGGGGAGGATATCGCGGACCATTCTTTCGCGGAGGAACTTGCAGCGAGTCTCTCTTCTGACATGAAAGCACCATCGCCACCCCCAGTAGCAGAGGCGACGGTACCAACCGCCGAGGTGACGCCGGCAGAGAACGAAGCTGTGAGTGCGATGCCTTGTACTAAGATTCTTGACAACAGGAGCTAACATTGGCATGTGGACCACAGGCCAGTCTCGACGCCCTTGTTTAAAGAATGTCGTCGCATTCGTCCTCCTGGTGCCCGACGACCATGAGTCGTGTCCCCCTCGAGTTTTCGTGTTCCGCGCGCTCCCTCCCCCTCTTCCATTATACGGCTCGGACCTTCCGTGCTCCGGCTCGCGTTACCTTTCCTACCGGCGCTGCCTTCTCACGCGTTCGCTGCACCCCATCCGTCCCATCTGGCAACCTTGTTCGTGCGATGGAACTGCCGGCTGTGCTGGCATTGTCAAACACGCTCTGAGTCTTGCTCAAGACCTTCGGATGTATTCTCTCATTCCGTCGAGTGCGCACTCCATTAAACCGTTCGTCCTTCCCGTGTAGCGACACTTTAGATACTCCGCGTCCCCTTCCCGTCTGCTGTGCACTTACTCTTGTTGTAATATCACTCACCTAGTTGTTGCTGCTCTTCCAATCTGCTCTCCATCATTACCTGTCGACTCATCAACGGTTTGTATCAATAGTCTGCCCATCCATAGAACGCCGGTACCTGATTCGTGACGTGCCAGTGTATTCATACCTGTACTACTCAGTGCTTCTAATTAAGCCGGGACAGTCCCGGCATATACAATATCTTTGAGAGATTGAAGGGGGTGTACCATCATAACAGTTTCGTTTGAAACCTACATGCGGCTGAATCGTCGCGCGCAACACCTTGGGTGAGTATCTGGTAGCAGGTTGCTGTAATGATGATTCTGGCTTGCGACGGGTTATCGTTTAGGGGCACGTGGTGTAGTTGGTTATCACGCTCGCTTAGCATGTAACATGCGAGAGGGGTCCGGTTCGATCCCGGACGTGTCCAACTTCCTTAGGACTGACTTTTTCTGGCAGTTATGTCAGTTTTTGTTTCCATGGACCTTACTTCAAAGGGTGGGGGGATGGGGAGGGGCAGCGATGTGACAGCGATGGCGTAGCGAGCTCCACCGCAATGGCCACGGACTAAACGCCCAAAAGGACGAGCCGCAGACCGGACCGGCGGACCGGGACTTGCCTCGGGCTCTGCTGGTTTCGCGGCGACGGGTTCGACTCATTTTGTGTCCATGTCCGCTGCATGCTCTGGGCTCCGTACTCTCGAATTTACCTCTCTGGACATCTAAGGTGGCTTCCCAGACCATACGAGCATGCAGTATAATTCAAGAACAAGGCGAGTAATCGCATGAATGCAATGTCTTCAGTCGCGCAAGCTCCGAGGTGGGTCCTGCCGACTCTCATCCCCCTGCCCAGAGTCTGCGCCTTGGACCACAGCTCGGATGGCGGTGCGTCAGGTTGATAGCCAATCCCGCAAAGCATGAGGAATGTTCTACAGAAGTGAGTGCTCTTCCTGTGTATATGGCCACGAAGCTCCGAATCAGTACGATTACAAAGACCTCATATTGGTCGAATGCCCCTCTTTAGGCTACAATGCGTGCGGGGCAGAGGTCCACAATCCATTCTTCCTACAGTTTCAAATGCCTTTCACCGTCAATTTTTTGAGCCGTTCGTAATGCATGTCGATTGAACACCGCGCGCCACCACCCAAGCAATTGCAATCTGGTCGGACGGGGCAAGCCTTCGGGATAGGCCAATTCATGTCTCAGCAATTGAACACGAATAATTCAGAGCTCTGACCATCCATAGCACTTCCTCAGCCACGCCAGATCGTTGACGCCGAGTCGCCGCTGTGGGGACCCCTTCACTTCAGAGCCGGAGAGTGAAGCGAAGAGCACCGTTTCCCATGTTTCCATCGCAACATTGCGTGCAATCGAGGTGGAACCGTACTTTTGATGACCCGTGCGGTTCATGGTGCGTGTCCGTCTGCTCGCTCTTTGTGTGTCCTTAGATTGATAGAGCGGCAGGTACATAGAGTCTATCGTTGCCTGGGCATAGAGGGATTGCACATGCTTCTGCAGATACAAGATGCAGCACAAAGCTCTACAGGAATCACAGTCGTACGATCAACCAAACGAGGGTCTACTAAGTATCATAAGCGAGATTGAGGCCGTACCGACGAATAAGGTATATAGTGGATTCTGATGTAGATGTACCAGATGCAATGCCAAACGCGATGCCAAACGCGATGCCAAACGGAGTTCATTGATTCAAGTCTCTGCCTAAACCTCGAACTGATCCGGGATGAGTTCTTGCAGCCGACGGCCCAAAACAGTTCCATTGTCCGCTGCAGACCACAACATTGTGCCGTCGGAGGTGAACGCGACGTGCCGGACTTTGTCGCCGTGGTCGGGCAGAGTGGCTAAGCATGATCCATCACTCGTCCTCCACACCCTCACCGTCTTGTCACCAGACGCAGAGCCGACATACTTCCCGCACGGGGAAAAGCACGCCTTCCACACCAGTTTCTCGTGTCCTTCAAGCGACTGGACCATGGCACCAGTGTGTGCGTCCCATATCTTCACTGTCTTGTCGTTCGAGACCGAGAGCAGCAGCCGACCATCCGGAGAAAACGCGACATCGTGGATTCGATACGTGTGCGCGTTCAGGTGCAGATGCGCCTGCCTAGTCGCCATGTCCCAGATGCGGATCGTCCCACTGTTGTATCCAACAGCGACGTATGCATTCTCAGGGCTGAATGCGGCTGCACTGGCCCCATGATCGCCATCGTCATTGAATTGGAGTGCGAGGTGTGCACCAGATCCAACGTCCCAAACCCCACAGCCGCTCCAATTGTGGGCCAGAAGCCAGCGGCCGTCAGGGGAGAATAGAGGCTCGACATTCGTGTACTTGTAGTTGGCGCCATCGAATAGTCGCGGGCGGCATGTTCGTCCGTCCCAGACCCGTGTAGCGCCGCTGCCTTCTCGGGACGCCATGTAAGCACCGTCGCTGGACCACGCGCAGCCAAAGACAGTAGCAGGGTGACCTTCGAGGACGGCGACCTGGTGTGAGCTGCCGCTGATGTCCCAGATTGCCACCTTCCCGTCTTCACCTGCAGATGCGAGGCGTCGGCCATCCGGCGAGAATGCAAGACACCAGACCTCCCCATGTCGGGTGAACCATTCTTGCGAGATACATGCATCTCGGGCATCCCAGAGGATGATGGTGGAATCTGTGGAGGCTGTTGCTACTAACCGCCCGTCTGGGGAGACAACGAGGGTGGTGACGGGCGAGTCATGCCCAGGTTTCCCGGCTACACAAGTCAACGTCCGACCCAGAATCACGCTCACTGAATGAAACTCACAGTATCTGATGTCTTCCGTCAGCGCCCATTTCTCGCTGAGTGGACGAAACAACCTGCGAAACTCGTCTGACCAGGAGATCGCCTTCCGCGCGTTCAGGATTGAACCGCCAGGAACGGTCAATCGCACACGATGGAAGGGATATCCGAGCAGGACATTCTCCAATGTTGCACAGAGATCCAGATTGGCAGGTCGACGACAGTTGCTGTATAGGCCGCCAATGCTGGCATCCCAGAGGACCAGAGTGACATCTCGTATCGCTGTTTGTTTTGAACCGCCTAAGAATTGGGTGACATATTGGATTTTGTCGGTCTCTGCTGGTATCCACCATGCCAAGGAGGTCTGGCAATCTCCACTTGATTCAGGAGGAGGCATAGAGGACGGTTCTGATTTGGATTATATGAGTTATACAACTAGGAGGCTGAGACGGGATCCGATACGAACGAGTATATATCGTATTCGCAAGCGGGCTAGAAATTATGTGAACCAGCACCTCTGTGATGTGTGCATTCACATCTCGAAGTATCTATAAGGCAAGTCAGAGGATCAGGCGGAGAGACGCAGATGAACTTGATAACCCGCACATTCAGCGTTCTCAATTGCAGTTGATGAGATAGGTCACCTGGCGCCAGAGGAGTATGTGCGTCCATCAACAGACGCTCGCAAGTGAGTATTTCGACGCTCGGGAATGCTGAAAGGAAGCGAAAGAAGGCGGCTGGCGATTGGAACCTAGCATCGCGGATTGTCAGGCTCCGGAGGCCGGAGTGCAGAGCGGACTGGGGAAGCTGGCCAATTGCAGACGAGATCTTATTGAACGTGACATGATGGAGACCAGGGAGAATAGACAGCAGTTGGGGTGAAGGGACAATGCCCCACGGAAACGACAGAGATTGCACGACAGGCTGGAGGTGCGGCTGAGCTTGAACAGCATCGTAGAACTTCATGAGCTGGTTCGCACTTCGGAGTTTGACGTTCGTGAAGAGAACGAAGCGGCTACGAGGATAGAGTTGGATGCAAGTGAGAGCAACACCGCGCAGTGCGGTCTTATCATTGGAGCAGAGGTCGATAACTCTCTCGATGACCTCCCATGGAAGTGCGGGGGATTGCACGACGGATGAATCCGAAGACAAGAAGCGCGAGGTGTTTGAGAGTTCATCTGTACTCAGAGCGTCTGTTGGAGCCTTGACTAGCTTGTGCATGCTGACAGTTGTCGATGGAGGTTGCAGTGAGCGAGAGAGGCCAAGGTCAAGGCTGCGGAAGGAGACATCGCAATCAGATCACACTAACGCGCGTCATGTGATACTCGTCCGAGTCGTGATGGCCACAACCACCATTGGGTGATGGAAGGGCAATGGAAGGGCAACGGTACAGGAAAACGTACGAAGCCTCCTCCTGTCCTGTCGACCTATTCAACGAGTCTTCGAGGAATGTGGTTGGTCGCAGGCGCATCCGGCTATGAATGCTGTCCGTGGACAGTGGTGTGTCGAGAGCAGCTTGAACAAGCTGAATTGTCTACCCTGCTTCGTAAGACCACATAAAATGGGAGTCAAGCCAGAGAAACTTCGGAAGCGGATAAGATGGTAGAGAGGAAAGAAATAAGTCTAACTTAGAACAAGAACATACCTTCTACGCTTTCCCTACAGGAGCGACTGGGAAGCTATCTCTGTGATCTTGCCACCAGTGGTGGGCGCCGCACTGAGTACCGCTCCTGGTTCGCCGACACATCGTCGTGACCAAAGGCGTAAGTATGAATTCGATGTACATAGTGGGGTTCGTCGAGCACGCGGCAGGGCGTTGAACACCGTGACGGTCGTTCCCTGAATGGCAGCTCAAGCAGGCAGCAGTCCGTGACGCGCGGTCCGGCGGCTGCCTTGCACAATGGCAGCTGAGCTGCAGCTTGAGTCATCCAACGCACTCTCCTACATCTCTTCACAAGCTCAGCTCAGCTTTGGAGAACATATGCTGGCATGCATAGTCAATCAAGTGCAAGGCAAGCGCCCACATACATCCCGACCAATCGCTGTGAACCTCAGGAGGATGTATTATGCTATACGATTAAACAAGATTTGACGTAACCTGTTGCTCACAACCCGCGGGATCATGAGCACAGTGGCAGGAAAACCTCCCTCCTTCGCCAAATACTCCATCCTCAGTTCCAGAACTTCTCCGCATAGATACCAAGCACGGCACTCGCGAGTACGTCTGTGTAAGGCAGGACATCCGCCTCGGTATAGTTTTTCGCGCTCTGGATGCCGTTGAGGATCTCGAGCAGCTGCGACTCGATGAAGTCAACAAAGACAAGGTCGACTGGGTCCGAGTCCGCGACACCCGCGGGCGCGGACGAGCCAATGAAGTCGGGTGCAGAGAAGAAGGGCTGTGTAGGTGGGAGTACGCGTTAGGGAAAAAGTAATGAAGTTGATGGGGTGGGAAGAAGGGTGCTTACCAGAGGCGTGTGGACGATGTCGTCGCCGACCCCAGGGCAGGACTACACAAAGGTAGATCAGAGAGAGAAGAAAAGTCCTGATAATCAGGAAGGACCAACGTCATGAGTCACATAACCAAGCGTCGCGTTGTTCGCCGCCCTCCGCTCCGGCCCAAAACTCTTCCGATCCATCTCCTCCAACCACGCCCGATACAGCATGTCGACCTCACCCCTCGCGTACGCCTCCGTACTCCGCAAATCAATCCCGGCTAACTCACGGCGCTCGTTCGCCCCGGCTTTGTTCAGCGTGGGCAGGACTTGGCTCGCGATGGACAAGGTGACGTTGGGAATGTAGAGGAACGAGTCTGCAAAGGGCGACGCAGTGAGCTGGTCGTTCTTGGTGAACGCACCCGCGTAGACGTCAAAGCGCATGGAGCCCGAGTTGGTAATCATCACGTTGGGCACGGACGCGCGCGAGTTGTTCACCGTGAGCGAGTACGTCATCGCCGTCGTGAAGAGAGAGAGGAGGGAGTTGTTCGCCGTGGCAGGAACCCTGTCAAGGAAAAAGAGAAAGGGAGGGTGAGCACGGCGCGGGTCGAGTAAGGTCTCGTAGGGGAGATTTCCTACTGGCTGATAGTGTAGTCCTCCGGAGCGACGCCGAACTCGTCGCTGAGGTTGAAGCGCTTCGCAAGATTGTTGAGCCCTTGAGTGTACAGCTTGCCCTGGAGGGTGTCGAAGGTGAAGTTGCCGCGGCCGGTGTGGTACTGAGGAGGCTCGGGTATCAAAGTCAAGCATGCCTGTCTACATCACAAAGACCTACCTCGTAAGACACACGATTTGGATCAAGGTAACGGCGGGTGAAGGTGAGGTTCTTATTGGAACCCTTGTGGTCAAGATCTACGCCTGCCATGGCATTAGAAGCGTTCGAGAGAAGCGTTGATGGTACCCACTCATCCAGCCTAAAACGTACGGGGTCAGCAATATGGTATGCAAGAGAACATAGACGAGACATACCGACGGTTTCCATGTAACGACCGCTCTCAAGAGCCATGGAGCGACCATCAAGTTGTACTACGACCCAGCCCTGAGTATCATTACGCCATGTCGAATTACAACTCCTTACTGCAGTCACGAATGTGAGTGTGCCCTGGAATGACATCAGTACCGGACCAACAGACAACATGTCTAGGCTAGCCCACCTCCGAGGATGAGTATCGGCGTTGTGGGATGGACGGCACGGACCTTGTCAAAGACAGTCGGCCCTGCATAAGGTCAGTACCTTGTGTGACAGCCAGGCTTGCTCAAGCAAGAATAAGAGTTAACGAACAGTGATCATGCGAGACGGGCATGTGCCTGCCAGCAACGCAGGCCAATCACTCATCAGCCCGGCAAATCGATAGAAACCCTCAAGAATGATCGACGTACCCAACAAGAAGGAAGAAGTCAGGCTCGTCCTTGATTGCCTCCGCGAACTATCGAAGGCACAACCCCGCATCAGCAATAAATCCGGGCACGAGCGACACGGGAGAACGTCAAGACGGGACCAAAGACACGCACCCATTGCTCCTCGACCATATCCTCCACCTTCTGCACGGTGGTATTGACATCGTTGCCCGTGAAGTCGAACAGAACGCCAAGCGACGTAACCTTGCGTCCCCTTTACGGATATAACACATGTCAAGCGGGGCCTCGGGCGTTATTTGCACGGCACGTACTCACTTGCGAGTCTTAAACTTCGCAAAGCGCTCTGTAGGGCGAGAGTGTCCATTAGAGAATTTCTTGGCGTTAGGAGGGGAGGCTAGGATGCACGCACCACCAACGGGTACGCTGACGGGGTTGCCATCTTTGTCGGCGAGGGTGATGTTGACGTTGGAGGAGAGGTAACGCCCGTTGAGCTTTGGGGCGAAAGTCTTGTACATGTCAAGCGTGTTTGCGTAGATATACAGCTCATGGCTACCACGCTTGTGAGCGAGTGTGCTAAGAGTCCAAGCGGAGAATGTGCGCACTTTCCAATCGCCATGACGTCGTAAGGCAGATCAAATATGAATTTGTTGGTCTAGATAAGACGTGAGCATCATGCGTGGTGTAGGTATTCCTAAGGTCCGCTATCACCTCATGTCCGTCTACACCGCCTGGAGGGAAACCGTCTGAGAGACCGGTTCCGTCATGCAAGTCACCGGAGTCGACCAAGAGAAGATCAACATCCTTTTCCTACGGCCGAGGTCACTCCTCTCAACAGACACAGAAGACGACCGTATCACTTACGAGGGCTATCTCCTTCATGTGCGTCACGAAAGACGCGAAATCTCCCAAGTCCCCGCTGAACACCGTCCCATGTCACCACCCGATTCTCCCATCGCCTGCACGGCAAACGCGTAACTCACTCACCTGTAATTAGGCTCTGGGAAAGATGACTTTTGGTGCCCAAGCAGCCAGCCATGGCTGTCAGTAGTGTGAATGATGTTCACGTCGCCCCAAACGAGCGGCCTGGTCGGGACCGGGAGCCGCGTCTGTGGGAATGCGCGCCGCAGAGGCTGGTGTTCATGCGCGTGACCGTGTTCTTCGCCCGGGCACGCGCGAGCCGCGAGCGCAGCAAGGAAGAGCGCGAGCAACGACGTGAATTGCATCCTTGCGAATTACCCGGTGGCTGCGTAAGTGCACGAGGAGAGGGGGCGGGGCAGCGAAGTCAAGCATGATGCCGACAATTATATAGGGTTCCAACGTATCGCACGGGTTGACGGAGCGGGCGTCAGGGGCGCTTCGTATGGTAACCGCCGTCGCGCGCACGGCCTGAGATTGATGAAACGGTGCGGATTTGATGCGGGCGCAAAGAATGTCAGCGATAGCGCAGATCACACCACATGGAACGTCGTACTTATCTATCCGTGAGTGCAGATTGTCCATGTCCAGTATCCGCTACAAATATAGCGTGGTGAAGCATTCATTGAAGCCACGTCTCGAGGCTTGAGAATCGCCTCCTCCAGTGCTGACATCGCGTCTGCTTGAACACGGGACCATGGTGCTGCATGCTCCACCCTCGACGCCTCGACTTGTGGCAGGTACATATGTTCCCATGCAGCATAGAACGCGCGCACGTGTGTGAGTGGACGATGGCCGGCGCCGGCGGAACGTTTTGCAACAGCTTGACAGCGTCTTTAGTGATAGGCGCTGCATAACACAAGTTGAGCTGAGTATGTACATGGCCGTCTGCCCCTGGCTTAGACTTCGCCACGTTACAGAAAGTTGAAGAACGTGCTTCGGCGTGCAGGCGGAAGGTACTTATCCAGTGTGCGCGATACCGACAACGGCTGATTGATGTAAAGGAGGAGGCCTACAAGTACTTCACTTATCACCGCTATGGAGAGGTAGCTACCAGCAGCACATTGTCGTATCCCAGCCTGCGCAACATATACTATCTTGGCAGTCCGATCGTAAGGTACCGCCCTTGCGTACTCAGCCAAGGAAATTTACCGTACTCACATATACAACATGTGGGACCTAGAGCTGCCCTATCCTCTGCTGCATCTTCTCTTTGACCGTCTGGTACGCGCTCAGAAGCGTCTGCTCGTTGATCACGATCTCAGTCGTGTCCGCCCTTGGTCGGCTGACGCGCGACGCGATAGTCGTCGAGTCTGTCTCCACGATGATTCTGAAAGGCGCATAGATAGGCGTTAATATGGTGACAAGAGTCGTGCAGTAGTAGGAGATATATGCGTTCAGCCACGAATGTTCCAGCTCAACAACGGGCAGCGGACAGTGACAGTTCTTGAACATTGGGGAAGGGGAAAATCCGAGAGAAGGGAACTCACCCATCGTCGATCGTCTCGTCCAAGCAGAGCAGAACAAGGTCAAGGTTCTCGAGCACGCCGCGCTTCTCGACCTGGTTGCGTAAAAGCATGCCGACAGCATCCAAGAAAGCGACCAGGGCGGCATGCAGCATGAGCTCGTTCTCGGAGGGGTCCCCGATAATGTAGAAGATGAGGTCAAGCGAGTGCTTGTAGACCGCCAGGTGCGAGTCATACAGGATGATGTCTCCTGCGTTCCATATGCGCATACGACCGTAGATATCACGAGGAATGTGTGTCCAGACACAGAGACAACTGTCAGCTATAGTGTGAGCATCATATGTCTTGCGAACGCACCTCCGGCCTTCTTCGTCTTTTGGAACAACCCCTTCTCGAATGCACGTTGCTCCTTCAACGTCGTCAACTTCTTCGATTCGCCATTTGGATGCCCCTTCGGGTTGTAGTATTTCGCGAGCACCCGGTGCCCGTCGGTATCGATGATCAGGAACGCAGAGACGGTATACAAAGACAGATTCATGGTGAGACGTGTCGGGGCCTTCGCTGAAGTAAACAGAAAAGATCAACGAGTCAAGTTAGCTGACGTAGCAGATGACAGAAGACAGAGCCGAAAGGATATGAGGAAGGGACGAAGTTGGTACATACTCGAGCTCGCTGTCCACGGCGCTGCCTACGACATTGATGGAGGCGCCCAACGTGGACCTCTCCTCGACCTCCATCATCACCGCCGTTTGTACTCTCAAAGGCTTCCGCTTGGACTATGTCCCCTTGAACAGAACACTCTTCCACTCAGGACGCCATGTCATGTCCTCCATACACTGGCACGACATCCTCGTCTCCGACTACCTCTTAGCATTGCTCATCCCCCTCGTCCTCTTCGTTCTAACCCTCCAGATCCTCGGCAGCCCACGAGACCTCCCCGACATAATCTTTGGGTACCGAAATGCACGTGCGGACGCCGTCGGCCACTTCTCTGTACAACGCGCAGCGGCGTCCTACGGCCAGTACGCGCAGCTCTCGCGCTCAGAGCTTGCGACGATGCGCAAGTCGTACGGTCGCATGAGCTGGGCGCACAGGCGCATCGGGTACGAGCTGGGGTACACGCAGAAGCTTGCCCGCCTTGAAATGTCCATCGATACGAACGCCATCGTCTCCGAAGCCATAGCGAATCTCGCTCGGGAAGAGTTCGCGGATGAGCTCTCTCATGAGCAGCATGGGATTTCAGGCGACATCGGAAGGGTGCGCGAGTCGCTGAAGCACTTTGTGCGCGACTGGAGCGATGAGGGGCGCACAGAGCGCGAGAAGATATTCCGGCCGATACTGGACGTTCTGCGCGATGTGCCTGGGGAGAAGCGTCGCGACATGCAGGTGCTTGTGCCCGGTGCAGGTCTGGGCCGACTTGCTTGGGAGATATCTGAGCTCGGTGAGTTGTATTCCCGGCGTTCAGTTTACCTTGCCTAGCCGCGCCCTGTAGCTGTATCGTATTGTGTTGGGGACACTGTCGAGACCATGTATATGCGCCGCTTTAGGTGCGTTCCTATGCCATGAGCGTAATCACTACTTTCCAGAGATGGACAGTGTCGTGGCTTTTGCTCAAATATTTCGTGCGCGGTGCCATCGGTGGTGCCACAATCCGCATATACAGGGACACTGTCTGTGTCACCAGGCGCAAGTCACCATAGACGGGAGAGAAATTTACCCCGCTCCGCTACATCCGTATCCTGGCTATTTGAGCAGACATCTTAGAGATGTTCGCCCTAATCGCGCGAACCCTACGTCTCCTGGTGATATGGTGCATGAGAGGCCAGCGCCAGTCATTCAGACTCACTAATGTACTTGGAAAGCACCCGGATACATATGTACAGTGGCGTCTGAAAAGAACAATCCCTTCCATCTCGTGGATTCCAGACGCATACTGACGCAGTGTCTTGCTCAGGCTATCCAACAACGGCGAATGAGCTCTCGTTCTTCATGAACCTTGCTCTGCGATTCCTCCTCTCGCCAGAGCACACGCGCGGTCCGAACCAGCACGTCCTCCAGCCGTACGCGAGCTGGTTCTCGCATCAGCGTGTCACAGACACACTTTTCCGCAAGATCTCTTTCCCCGATGCTGTACCTCGTCTCTCGGACAACTTCGTATTGGCAGAGCGCGACTTCCTGTCTCTGCGTGTACCGAAGGCAACGCAGGGATATGACATCGTCGTCACCCTCTTCTTCATCGACACTTCACTGAATGCCATCGAGACCCTCGAACATATCTACGCGGTCCTCCGTCCTGGCGGCAAGTGGATCAACTTGGGGCCCCTTCTGTGGACCGGCGGCGGCCAGGCGGCGGTAGAGCTGAGTCTCGAGGAGGTGCTGAAGCTCGCGGAGACAGTTGGATTTGACGTGAGTGGAGAGGACGCGCCGGAGCTTACCAGGCGGCGGACGGTGGAGTGCGAGTACACGGCAGACAAGGCGGCGATGATGAGGTGGCTGTACCAGGCGGAGTTCTGGGTTGCTACAAAAAAGCTTTGAGCTCGATCGTCGCACTATGCAACTTGCACGAAGATTGGATCTAACTGTGTAATGACCTCACTGCCTCGTTCTCGATGGCGACCTCCGTCAGTGCAAAATGCGAGGTGCGGGACAGAACTCGTCTGCTCTGCAAAGGTCACCAAGCATAGACCGTTGCGAAATCTTCGCAGTCGCACATACAGTCTTTAACCGGTCCTTCGGACACCATGGGTCCCTCGGACGCTCCCTCATTCCTGCGTCCCCTTCGGCTCCCTCTTCAATTCTGTGTATCTCAATGTCATCCTATGGCATATAGTACACTATTTGTCGATTTTCGTGTGCTCGCGTGGTCTATACAAGAATATAAATTAACATCTCCACCTAAAATCTGCCATTTTGGGGTTGTTTTGGCTTTTGTGAGCGACGTCGTTGTTGCGGTCTCTACAGATTGACATGGTATGTCAATGGGTGTCTTACTTTGACACCGCTGTGATTTATATACTTATCGTGCTTAGAATGTGCTCACCAATGTCGCGATCTTACGAGCGACTGAAGGAGACGTTTGGCGAATGAAGCGCTCGGTCACACCTTCTAAAAGCGACGGAAAGGAGCAGGAGGATGATGGATGTTGATTACCATATCTAGGCCTGATTAGATTATAATCGTCCCGTTTGGATATATCTATACGTGACTGTGACTGTCTGAAGGACTGAGGGCCCACTGATAACAGTTCCCGACATAAAACCTTCCGATCCCCTATTGTATCAAGACGATAGGTGAAAAAACACTTTCAAGTTGTACTATAGACATACCGAAAACATATATATTAGTCCGATTTTCCATCTCTCCTCGTACAGGACGGCAATTTCGAAAACGCGAAAAGAGCGTCCGAAGGACCGGTTAAAGACTCAGGCTGTACCCCAGGACGCTGTTGCGACTTGAACCTGTTCGGTGAGGAAACGGCACGGCCGTATGCTTTGACCTTCAGCTACAGTCAAAGCGTACACTCACTGCTTCCCGCATTCCATATTATGACTGTCGCGTCCCGCGAGGCCGACAGGACATGTTTGCCGTCCGGGGAGAATGCGGCACTTATCTCAATCTCGGAGTGTCCCCGCGAGACTACGTATTTCTAGGCCTCCCCGGCTTCGGCTGCATCGCCCTATCTGCGCACAGCGCAGGCCTTGGGAGTGTACCCTTCATCCCCGTGAGCAGCCACGACGAGGCCGCGGGTGGAGTCGAAGGATTTATTGTGGATGATGAGTGTGCCGGAATCAGGATGACGTGGAAAGCGGACGAGGTCTTCATTGAACATCATGATGTCTCGGACGTAGGATTGGCGGTATACCGCTGTTCCTGAAGACCATGCCCGCCTACATGCTTCAGGCGAGAACTAGAGGACCCGTGGGTTGCTTTATACCTGAAACGGTTTTTACTATGTTCGCGAAAGGTGGTTCAAGTCACAATCGAAGTCTATCATTCACAATTGATTCCTTCAGATATTGGCCATCCTGCCCATATCGGGGCCTCATTACATGCAGATCCAACCGCATTTGCCGTCAATAAATTCTTGAGCCACAGTGGTCGACAAATGGACCGCATTTCGGGGAGCTCTTCCTCACGCTAGAGGGTTTGATGCTCGAGCGACGTCGTCAAGAATGACACGCGGAGACATGAGATCCGGAAAGCAGCAAATCCATTCTGACCATGAGACAGCAGAAAGCTCAAGAACCTGTTTCTACATAGCCTCGATGCTATGAACACCCGGTTATCACGACTGCCCCAAGAACACAGCGGTCCACGCGGGCACGACCAAGTAATCCGTCGTCGACAAGTCGACGGTTGTGACCCACTTCGCCAGCCCCGCATTCCCACCGAAGTGCTTCAACGTATATTCGCCCGTTGGCAGATTGGCGACATCAAGGGCCAGCGGCTGAGTGTCCTTGTTGATAATGACGAGCGCGACGTTCTTGCTGTCTGTAGAGCTCGCGTACACCCCAAGCGTGTCCGTGTTGTTCTGCGAGAGCGTCACCTGGACGGACGAGCTCCCGAACGGCACGCCCGCCCCGCGGTAGAGCCAGTACGCCAGCGCGGGTCCGTCGGTGATCGCAGGCTGGCCCCAATACGTCGCGGCGTCAAGGCCGAAGGCACCAAAGATGCCCAGCGCATCTGCAGTGACCAATCCTCCGGTGACGTCGTTGTCAGGGGCGGACCACTCGGAAACGGACAGCTTGGTGCCCGGATAGTTCTGTTCGATCAGCGCCTGCATACGGGGGATGAGCCAGACCGCGTTAGGGTTGGGCTGGTGCCACTGCGGGGGGACGCTCGTGCCGATGTACGACTCGTCGATGTAGGAGGGGTCCCACAAGGAGCGCGTCATGCGTAGCTTGAGGGCCTGGGTGGCCGCGTCGGTGCCGCTGGTGTCGGCCCCAAAGTAGTAGTGGATGTCTGCATAAAGTCGTACTCATCTCAACGCTTTGGGACCTGGGGGCAAAGCAGACGTACCGAGGTAGTCAAGTAAGCGGTTTCCGTACGTGCTCTCGGCGTCCTTCATTTGGGTCAGGAACCAAGGGAGGAAGTCGATGTTGTCGTGCGCCGCGTTGTCAGTGTAGCCGACGACACTCGTCCAGTAGTACCACCATGCACAAGTGGAAGGTGCCGCGACGAGGACGTCTGGGAGAGTGTTTTTGGCAGCGTTGGCGGTAGATAGCACGCGGGAGAGTTCTTCATCGTAGTCCATGGGACTTTATGATAAAGGTCAATCACGGCAGTACCAGGCAAGGAGCTATCCACTCACGCCGGGTGCATGTCCTCATGAGTGGATGAAGCAATCTCAATCTCGTTGTCCACGGTGATGATGTCGGGCTTGATTGACATGAAGTTCAACCTACACCGCAATTCAGCACTATTTCATTCAATCGCCCTGTATACGAAAGTCATACCATGCAATTTGGTTTGTGACATTCCACTCCTTGTAAACGTTCGTCTGCGGCGGTGCTGTGCCAAATTGGGTGCCATTCGGCCATGCACCATCTCCTGCATCAGGGTTGTATGGATCGAAACTGGCCTGATCTACAAGACATCAGACATGTCCTGAGGTCTAGAACGCATAAAGTAAAACTCATACCTGGGTACAGGCTTTTCGGGTACGAGTAAGAGGTGTCGTCCTTGGCAACCCAATCTAGACTGCATGCTTTCCGGTCAGAGCCGCTCTTTCAGCGAAGTACATTGCAAACTCACGCGGGGACGGTGACAATGGACTTGCTGCCCGCGCCCTTGACCATATCATGCCACGGCTCGAACGTGGGGCTACTGATCCGGTTCTCGAAGTACCAGTCATTGCCAGCATTCGTAAAATCGCCCTCATAGTTGTACGCAGTGACCGCGTTGCCGCCCCAGCGCGAGAGCGTGATGCCGAGCGTGTCGATGTAGTTGGCGTCCGCGGGAAAGTTGACGCCGTAGATGTCGCTTGAGATGGGCTTGGTGTTACCGAGAGTAAGTGCGGCGTATTCAAGCTTGGGCAGAGTGTAGTTGTACGTCGTGTTGCCGGCTGTGATAAGGACTGTGCCGGTCTCGAAGGACTTGCTCAGCTGGAAGTAGGTGATTGACTTGCTGGGCGTGTCCGGGGGAGTGTAAGTTGTCAGGAGAGTGGTTGGGACAGTCTGAGGAGACAAAGAAGTTAGGCAGGACTATCATCGTAGACTGCGCAGAACTATAACCTCGCCGTTGAGATTGACTGAGACAGTCGAGAAGTCGACGGCTCCTTGTGAGGTAACTGCGACGATGTTTCCGAGCAGGGGCTCCGCGCTGAAGAACGTCGGGGTGACGACGATCTCCGACAGCAGCACGATGTTGTCGAGCCAGTACTGTTTCCAAAGCTGTCAGAAAAGGGTCACAGACGATCAAGAGAGGGATAGAGACGTGCCACGGCGCCGTTCGCACCACCCTGAAACGTAATCCGGTTCCAGGTATCGTTGGTCAACACGGTCCCGTCCGGAAGGTCTTGAAAGTTTATGGTGACCGTAGTAAAGCTAGTCGGGTTAACGTCCTTGCTCAACGCCGACAGCGCGATCGACTCGCTGCTGTCGCTGTCCGCAGTCGACGACAATGAGATGCTGACGTCGGGCGCGGACCCCGCGACGTCGAACCGCAGCCCCGCGTAGCTGGTTCCAAAGACCGTCTCGGAGTAGGCGGAGAACGCGGAATACGCGGTGGAGTTCACGGACAGCGCGCTGCGCCCCGCAATCGCCGTGGATGCGTAGTCGAGCGTCGAGCCCCACGACCAGTCTTCCCAGCCCGCCGAAAGCCCCCCGGCACCGTCAGTGAAGATGGAGACGTCCGCGCGCCCGAGCGCGGCGAAGACTGCGAGGGTCAGGACCCAGGAAAGCATTGCACCTCGGAGGAGCTGTGGATCGTCTCTTCTGCCGCGGTGTTTTTATGCATGCCGACCCTCTGGCAACCCATTGGAGATCCTTCATCCAGGCATCGTCCCTATGGCTCATCTTCGGCAGCTTACAGTACCTCGGAAGTTGCAGAACGTCCTTGCAAGGGTACGAAACTTTTTGAATGTACTTGAATCAAATTATTGCACTGCGACGTCTAGAGGGCAAGGAGTATCAGCGTGCACAACATCGGAAGTAGCCTGTAGATCAGAAGAGCGCACACGCGCAGCCCACAAAATGAGGTAACACTGGGTACTCCTAAAGGCAGTCCAGGGAGTGGTCTCGGCATTTGTTCGCTGCGTCATCGGAAGTCCAAGAAAGCAACTGCACGCGGAGTCAGGTGTGGGCGAACGTCACCTAAGCTCATCACAGAGCTGGAGAACCGCACCGTCCTGCGGATTGCGAGTCGCAACTTCCCGGCAGAGCTTCCAATGATGCGCTCGCCCCAGTGCCTGGAACAGGCTCTTTAGAACCCACCGCTGTCCTGCTGACCATTTTCCCTCCTCATCGAGGCCGTAAGCCTGTGATCCAGCGCTTTCATCAGGATGTCGACCTTCACTTACCGCAGCGCGTCGAGGTTCCGGAGAGGGAGTCTACCATCGTAACAGCACTATCCGCATCCACAGGTCCGCCTTAACATTCCCATTCCTACATGGGTACCGAGTGCAACGTAGGTCAGCGTACGATAAAACCAGGCATCGTCCAGGTAAGCGCACCTACCTGGGCAGAAGAGCTCGGAAATACGGTGAAGGTATCTAGATCTATCGAAGGGTGTCACGACTAGACGGTCTTACGACAGAGCGGGACTCGATCATGGCGGCAAAATCAGAGTTTGTAGCCCATGTTATCGCACTGATACCCCACACGGCAGGGCCTATTGGCTGCTAGTGGTGGTAGCCACGTAAGAAGAGGTTCATGAAGTGTTGAGCGGCTGAGACTTCGGCCCTTCTGCGCAATTAGGCGCGGTTGACCCTCCACCGACAGGTCTCAATATCTCGCGACAGCATCGTGGGGGTTCCAATCGGCATTCCGATAACGCTTTGATACGTACCGCAAGAGGATCCATCAGCTTGCCACGACCTAGACATCCACATTTGATCTACATATGTAGTACACGAGCGGCGCTTGATTCATCAACTACTACACGCCACCGCGATTCTGATCTTCGTGGTGCGTACTCGGTTTGGTTTGATACCGCTGTTTGAACCAGTCGCGAGTGCATCTCACATCTGGGCGAATGTCGATCGCGCGGTGCTCGTCCGTACCAAGCGTGAACTGAGCTCAGTTCGCAAATCCAAGCGGTATACGTACAGTCTCTGGGGCTATCCTACAACGAGACGACCCTCGGTTATAATGGCGACAGAGTATATGTGGCACAAATAAACGAAACCAGACGGGGCAGCGAGCGTGCGAGTACATACGGGATAGGTTGACAGAATGACGGGTGAGGAAGATCCGGTGAGTAGTGATGATACAGACAGAGATGCAGTGCCGAGATGTACAGATGGGATGGATGGGGAGGAATGACGGTGACAGTGAGCATGAGGCGATAAATAGACGGCCCAGTATGCGAGGCAAAGACCGGAACCGAGGAGAACGAATGATGAACCAATGAGGGTGAGTGGGAGTGGAAGTCGGAAGGGGATTGTCGAACACGACAGACAAGGGCATTTGACGAGTCGATATCGGAAATTCAGAAGAAGGGGGCGGTATTGGTGCTATAGATAAACCGTCAGTGTCACGACGCACAATCACAGACACAAGTTCCGCGGGGGTTGAGGGGAGGGGACGTTAGCCAGAACGGGAATCGGGACGAACCTTGTGGATCGGTATGCCTATCCCGTCTTAGTACGACAGCTGGCAGCACCGAGGATTTACAACGTTCCGCTAGAGTTCAAGCACTTCAGTCCGCAGGAGCGCCGAGCCAGCGACATATTGCACCGATCAGTGGCTGCTTGCAAGCCTGCTCCGCGGATACACCATTGCAAAAACACCAGGGAGGGCGAAGGAACGGAACCAGAGGGGAGAAAGAGGGGTCAGGAAGGTCGAACGACAGATGGAAGACGGTCAAGGTACGGACGTACGCTGCAGTCAGCCAAGTAGGGGGTCCAGCCATCTGGAAGGCAGCGACGGTGGACGCCACGGCGACTGCTGCGGCACCGAGCGCAGCGTACACGACCGACTGCTCCTTCGCCGTCGGGTCCTCGAAGGTGGGCTCTTCGTACAGTGATGCGTAGGCGCGCATTGTGTTCGGGTGGTATGTGGTGGAAGCGGGAAAGAGAGTAGTTGGAGTGGAGAGGACTTGAGGAGCGGACGGGAGCGCGGTTGATGAGGAGGGGGCAGAACCTGCGACGGCGGTCGATCTTATATGAATCGCGGTGGTGTTGTGTTCGGATCCCGGAGAGATCGGAGGCGAGGCTTGTCAATCGGAGGGACGGCAGTGACGGAGATTTGGGATCGGACACGTTCCGGCGACTCGCGAAGACCTAGTCACGGAGGCGATGCAAGCGTCCACCGACGAGCTCGATGGGCGATGTTGTGGTTTTCGAGACAGAGGAGTAGGTGAGGTGAAACAGAGAGACGATGGCAGGAGTACTGTATACACAGTACGAGATGGCGGGAAGATGACAGCTGCGTGGGCGTTGGTGCAGTGAAGAACGCTAGCGCCAGCTAGGCACCCATAAATGGCAAGGTTGGGAGCGAGGCTTGTGATTCCCGGATCACCGTCGAAGCTGATTCGCTGATGCTGGATGCTCGGCGAGGCACGACGGCCACAAGGCATGCCAGAGACGACCACAGGGGTCATGCATTCCTCGCAGAGGCTAGTTTCTCAATACAAAAGAGACGAGGCGCGGGATGCCGACTGCGTCAATGCGCAGGCCGGAGGGGTGACGCGCCGTGCAGGGTACTTGGCCTGGTATGTTGACGATAGTGCGCAGCACTAGCAGTGCAGAGACGACGACGAAGACGTCTATCTATGCATGCCTTGCGAGCCGACGTCAAAGTATGCATGATGGACAGCCGTCCTGAAGTTTGGTTCGGCATACGTACATGCAGGGAGCATCGCTGACAGCTTCAGCTGAAGACGGCACCAGCAGAGCCATCTGGAGATGATACGTACCTATTAAGTACCGGGCCGCAGAGATCATGCCTTGCTCAAGCGCGGACGCATCAGCACTCCGGTACATGGGACGCTGGTATTGTCCTTGAAACATACGAGTTGTCGCCTGTATGTGGTCACCCTCCGATGCATGGGACTCCGGAAAGTCAACGGGCATGACGTCTCCCCCGCTCTCGTCGCACGTGAAGCCGGACCCTGAAGGTAGAGACGGCTGAATGGACGAGAAAGACAGACTTAGCTCAGATCGCTACCGTCGCACGCGTGGCGAGCATTGTGAGCATTTGAGAATCGACCATGACTCGCAAACGTGTGTCATTACTAGAAGTCTTCGAGTCGGTACACATCGTACGCGACCTCTTCATACGGATGAACCTACATGCGCCGCCGTCACAACATTTCCCGCTCGGGCTCGCGTCCACTGGGCGCATAGCTGAACGCACACGCACCTTTTTGAGCTCCTGCAGCACCGCGCGCACGTCCACCCCACTCGCGCCTGTCTCTGTACCCGAGGGCTCGGTCTCCTGCGCTCCGGGTCGCGATCCGAGAACGAGGACCTCGACGCGGTCCTCCTCCACACGCTCCGGCTTCCCGACTTCGCCAATGACAGGGTTCGCGCCTTCGAGCGGCACGAACTGGCCTGAAATGGAGTTCAGCGTTCATGTATGCGTACTTGACATCAATCATGGATGCGCATACCTGTACCTGGGGAAACGAAGGCGCAACCGCCGTATGCGCCGATGCGCCCGACTTCGTTCGGGAAACGAGAGAATAGATGCTGTAGGACGGTTTGGGTGGATGCGCGAGGGACGAAGAAGACGAGCTTGAATTTTAAAGACATAACGGCGGATCTTACGCTGGGACGGCGAGGTGGTCGCGGTGGTACGATTGGCCTTCTAATGGCTGTCCTGAATATAGCCAAAACTAACGGAATAACTGTCATGGTGCTATAGTGTAGTGGTTATCACTCGGGATTTTGACTTTCTACTTTCCCGAAACCCAGGTTCGAACCCTGGTAGCACCTATGATAGTCTCCATTATTCCAGTAGTTTTTTTGGCGTATTGTAGTGAAGTCATAGTCCAACGCCTCCCCTTTCATTGCGTTCGATGAAGACAACAATCATGAAAGCAAGCAAGTGGTGGTTCATGTTCATGAAGCTCAAAGTGCAGTATACGGGCCCGGATAGGTCCGGCGTCACTCGTGGAGGCGACGTTCGATTGGGGTTCATCCACTTTGCTTCATACCACCTTCTAGCTCCCAACACCGTAACTCCCTCACACATTTACAATTAGCTGCCGGGGCGCAATGACTCTTTAGGACACGTTGACTACCGCGGCGTGCAAGATCGCACGAAAAGGTGAGCATTCCGCACCTTCCACACCCTCCACTACTCGAGGATGTCCAAGTAAAAGGGTCGACCCCGCCACCCGCGCGTTCAGATCCACACAAAGAATACGTTTCCTTTCCGTTCTCTCGTCCTTAGGGAAGAGAGCGGCGGCGCACCGAGCCCCCTCAGCGTCCGATACCCGACGTGCCATCTCATGAGCTCCTCGTGGCACGCCTTAAGGCCGGACCTACATCATCTTCATCTTCCTCGCTACATCTATGTGGTTTTCAGGTGGCTCAACGATAGGTTTGCGCGCCGCTAGCCCGACTGGTGCGCGAACAAAGGCCGAGCCGACAGCGGCGCCCAGCACCTCGGTGTTGCGGCGCCAGACGTTCACAGCCAAACTTTAGCAGACGAGTGTCGCTCTGCCTGAGGTGGTCTCAGACGTGGATTTCTTTGACTATAGTGAACACAACAGTTACCGCGCGGCTTTAAGCGTCCGGGCTCGAGCACCATGCCCGTTTCTGGCGCGTGGTTCCGCGCGTACAAGTGGCAGGAGCGGGTGCTGCTGTATGCGGACGTTGGGGTGTATTCTGAGTGTGGTATGTACGCGAATGGAGTGGCGGGGAGAGGAGATCATAGGCGTGCGGGCTTCAGCTCGTTCTGAGATTTCATTTGCATCACTGTTCGAGATACCGAGCGACTTGTGCTGACGACGTTTCGCTTTGCAGGTGAGACAATGACTACTGGGCGCGGTAGTGTCGGATTGAGCGCATCAATGCTGCTCTTTTGCTTACATTCCACATGTAAATTACTCCCTGGAACGACTACAGGACTACAGGAAAACACGTTCAGACCTGCCACCTGTCTCATCAGCCTTCAGGCGCACATCATGACGCGTGCTATGCGCCAGAGAGCAAGGGCATCTCCTTCCCTATTCAGGCATGTAGCAGGTTGGGCGGTGGTGGCAGGTCCCATTGTATCCCCTATATGCAATGCACGGAAATCATCACTTTGAAAAATGCATTAGTTCGTCGTATGCTGTATGCTGACCCTCTCGTCTTCCGTCTAGTAACCCCACATCACCATGTTACTCGGCCTTATGAAGTATGCTGGGTGGACCTACCTCCCCAACTTCGCCACCCGCCAACTTCTCTCCATCATTCACTCCATCTACCCGCGTCTCTTTGGCAGCCCTCCTCCCAAACCCGGCACCCCCGCGTACCAGCGCGATGTCCGCATCACGTATCTCGCCGTCGTCATCGGGTACCTCTTGTACACATTCTACGATGCCGCCACAACAGTAGAGCCGAATTACTACCAGATGTTAGGCGTCGAGCCGACTGCGGACGAGAACACGCTCAAGATGGCGTTCAGACAGTTCGCCAGGAAGCACCATCCGGATCGGGTGGGTCCTCAGGGGGAGAGGGTGTTTATCCAGGTTCGAGATGCGTACGAGGCGCTGAAGTCGCCCGTGAAGCGTTTTGCGTATGACAGGTTGGTCAGGGGTTGTTTTCCTCCGGAGCGGGGTCGTATGAGGGCTGATTCGCGAAATACAGATTTGGACCTGATGCGCTCGGGTGGTCGCAATGCTCGACGCTCAGGGAGTATATCCGCCATGGGCTCATGCAAGCGTCCGGATTTTATATCACCTCGACGTGCATACTTCTCCTGTTGTCCGCCTCTGGTCGTACAGGCCCAGTGGCATACGTGAGTCTGCGCATATATATATCGCCAATTTTGCATGTACTCAGCAGGAGTTACCTAGTGGCGCTACATCCTCCTCGCACTGATCTCGGTGTACGAGATGCTCTTCATCCTTGACCCCTCGCCTTCGCCCGGATCCGCCTCGAAGCTGTCATCGGTCCTCTTCGCCGACCCCGCAAGTACGGCGCATACCAGTTTCTTCAAGCTCTTCTGGCCGCGTCGCGTTGCGTACCAACACATCCGTTTCCTCCACTCCCTTTTCGTTCTGTGTTCTTTTGCGCTGTCGAACGTAGCGCCCGTGCTGTTCCCTCAACCGTCACGGGAGATGGAGGAGAAGATCCTGTTGAGCCAAGCCCAGCAGATCCTTCAGCTCTCTAACCAGATATCCGCTGAAGGTACGTACATTGCACACGCGCCAACACGAAACTAACGAGGACCGCACATAGCGAACGCGCAAGTGCAGACCCTCTACCACTCCGCGCACGGCCCGCGCACCGGCACCCCCGCGCAGGACACCACGTTCCCGTTCCTCGGCGAGCTCCCGAACGGGGGCCGGCCCGCGGACGAAGTCGTGACGCTCCTCGCGCGCGAGCTCGAGAACCTCATTCTCGAGACGCAGCTCCGCGCCGACGGCGGCCCGCTCAAGAGCGCGGTAGATAACGCCGTCGAACGCGAGCGCAAGCGGAGGGCGGGTGTGCGCCCGGGGCCGGAGGGGTGGATACAAAGGAGCGTGAGCAGGATGAACGGGTACGTGAATGGGTATGGGCTCGCGGCAGGGGCTGCGGCGAGCGCGGAGAGGTCGTACGACTCGTCGCCGGTGAGGGGCGAGAGGACTGTGCCGGGATACGTCCGGGGACGGTCGAGGTCGCTTGGGTGAGGTATGCATGTGATCATTGAGTTGGTGTGTAGCGGACCATGTTGTATACTGCGCAATGGGGAACAGGTTTTTACATCCGTGGAGGAACAAAATGTTTAGCATCAAACGTCATCTGTGTCTAGTGTTCATGTCGCCGAGTTGAAATTTTGTGATGAACCTCGAGGGTAGGAGAACACTGAGCAAAGCTCACACACTACAAGATGCCTTGACCGTGCTTGAACGTCATGTTAGCAGCAGAGACTGATGAGGCGACATTCTAGCCTAAATCTTTCGTATACACAACGTATGTCAGTGAGACTTTACGGGAACATGGGCCTCTGGCCTCGTTCTGAAATCCCAGCTTCCTAGGCCCGCGCCACCGCTCGCCACCGTCGGTTCGGGTCCTAGCCACGAGTGTACATTCGTGAGGTCGTGTCCTCTGGGGCTGTCTTCAGGTAAGGGTAGGTGGTCTCGACCAAAGTGCGATCGGTGACAAGCGAGGATGGAAGGCCGGGGACTTCCACGAGAAAGGCGGGAGAGAATACGGCTGCACGGTGTTCGTAAGTTGCATCCTCCCTTATCACTCTGGCCGATCTCAGCATCCGACTAGGTCCGAGTTAAGATCTTAAGAGCGTGTCGGTGTCGGTGTCGTTGTGTTCTTGTAGTAGGGCGATACTAGGGTATATTTGGTAGAGCCTAGGGCGAAATTTCTTGGGCTATCTGACGTTCGCTCGAGATACAGACGCGAGTATCCTGAGTGAAGTGGAGCGTGCGGATATTTACTTTGAGCGAGTGTGTGTCCAATTTACTGGTACGGTGTTACCCCGGATGCCATGGACGCTAAACGTACCACCCATCGCGCAGGCATCCCCGGGTGCGTGTGTAGCACTGAAGAGGGAGGATCCTGAACACTACTTTCCATCATGGGAACTCACGACATAAACAAGTCTCTCTCAGGACACAAATTATTCTGCAGCAGCGTCCTCTCGAGGTTAAGTGGAGCACGATCTCGAGCGATCTCAACTCCACTTCGAGCCTCGGTTTTGTGGCCTAGGCTCTGGCAAATATACCCTACTTAGCACAGACGTCCTGGACGAGCTCGCTGTGTAGAAACTTGACACGTGCTTCGAAGCATTCTAAACTCCTCTCTTGTCTTTGTTTCTACAGAAGTTCAATCTTAGGCGGATCTCCTGAGGAGAATGTATGAACGCTGCAGCCTCCAGCGCTCGAGATACCGATCAATTGAGGTCGATATGATCGTTATCTCACCGACCTTACTCACCATACACCCAACGTTGCCGCCTTCCTTAACACTGCTACAAACCAGCACGCAAACATGGCGAGGGAACTACCGGTGTCCATCCTTATAGTCAACCCAAACTCTTCCAAGTCCATGACCGAAGGTCTCCAACCCATCCTTGCCGACCTGATGCATCCTCAACTCGTTCTGCAATACCTTACGGGCCCAGAGCAATCACCGCCATCCGTGAATGATTTCACCACGTCCGTCATCTCAGCAGCACACACCTTTCCCTCCCTCCTCCCGCTGCTCGTCCCAGAAACGCCCGGTGCCCCGGACGCGTACCTCGTAGCGTGCTTCTCTGATCACCCCTTGGTAGGGATGCTCAGGGAACACACCCATAAACCTGTCATCGGTATCTTCGAGGCATCGGTCACACACGCACTGGCACTCGGACAGCCCTTCGGGATCGTCACCACGGGGAAGTACTGGGAACGAGCGCTCACCGACGGCGTTCAGAGGATGTTCGGTTCTGGGAATATCGGCGGCGCGTTCGTGGGTGTCGAGAGCACAGGGATGACTGCGCTCGAACTGCACGAAAAACAAGCGGAGGTGGTCGCGGCGGGGATTTCGGCCGCTGCTTCGAGGATGGTTGGGAGAGGGGCGAGAACGATCATCATGGGTTGCGCAGGTATGAGTGGGATGGAGCGGGCGGTGCAGGAAGGATGCGGTGGGGAACTTGTGCAGATAGTGGACGCTGTAAGAAGCGGGATCACAACGCTCGAAGGCTTGGTTAGAGCGCAGAGAATGTAATCAGGAACATGCTTGCATCATGGTCTTCCTTGCGCATACATGTTCTGGATGTCAAGCCAACAGTTCCAGAGCGCGGCCTCTGGCATCTACACAGTGATATGAGTGCCAATGGATTCAGATTGAGCTGCCAGACCAGTACGAGGGGTTCATGATGCATGATGGACAGAAACTGGGGGCTGTATACTGTGCGGTCGATGTGAACGATGTTGCCAGGCTCGATGCGAAACATTGTACTTAGGGGAAATCAATATATTGAAGCTCAGCTGGGACGGAGATAAGGAGCAAAGCCTGGATACTGGGTCGGAGAATGAATCTCAGGGCGCATCGGTGAGGGCTGTGTGCAACGACGACGAAAGCACTCGAACAACATACACCTCTAACACGTTCATCCCCTTACGACCACGATGTCTGCCAGGAGACAGGCGTCGACGACCTCCCTATCACGATATGCGCGAGCTGGTTCCCCCGACTTCTCCAGCCGATCCCTCGACTTCTGTAACGCGTTCTGGGGTCTCGGCGATGGCGGTGTCGAAGTCCTCTTTGCGCGCATGCGGGGCGCGATGAGAACGATGGAGGAGCTGAGGAGCTTCTGGAAGGAGCGGTGAGCACGAATGTTTCCCTGGCGGGATCACATCACGTTAATATAGCGGGCGAGCAGCGCGGCCATCGAGCAACAATATGCAAGCAAGCTTGCTGCTCTTGCGAAGATCACGCTAGGAAGGGATGAGATTGGGTACGTTCATGGCTCAATTCTTGCTCCTCTCTCGAAATTCTGCGGCGGCTCTATCTTGAGACGGTCTCTCCTCTCGCCTAGTCGGCGTTCAGGTCAACTTCGAGACAGCTATCCGCTATACAAATTTTCGGATGATTGGCACGGAAGATGTATGCTTTATCACGGAAGTGATGCATGCTCGAACCGGCGGAGGCCGCCTGCAAGGCGGAAAAGCTTTCGCAAAGGCACAAAAGAGGGGAGTTCAGACGCTGCATCTCCTTGTGTAGTAACGTGCACTGGGTGATTCCCTTTCGTTCGCCCAGACTTGTGGAGGCGTATGCTTCTGTGGTGGTTGCCCGCGCGGTATCACCATGACCCTGAGGCCGCGGTCTTGTCAGGGGGAGTCAGGCGTATCATCGGATGCGACGACAATCTATAGAGATTGTACATCTGGCGTACACTATCGCTCACTTTCTAATATCTGCAGGGAATTACGCGCTTCGTTAGATACCCTGAAGCAAGAGACCGAGAAGCAGGCCCAAGCCCACCTTGTCGTTGCCCAGGCGATCAAGGCCGACCTGGAAGGTCCGACTTCGGCGTTCATTCAGAAACAGCAGCACCACAAGCGCAACTTGCAGGCTGCGATCGAAAAAGAGTTCAAGACGAAGCAGACGCAGGAAGGGTACGTGAACAGGGCACGGGAGAAGTATGAGGCAGACTGCGTGCGAATCAACTCGTACACTGCGCAGAGCACGCTGATTCAAGGCCGAGACCTGGAGAAGGTCCATCTGAAGTTGGAGCGAGCACAGCAGACGGTGCAAGCGAACCAGCGCGACTATGCGAACTTTGCGCGCGCTTTGCAGGACACGATGCAGAAGTGGGAGCACAGCTGGAAGGGATTCTGCGACAGCTGTCAGGACCTGGAGGAGGAGCGGATAGAGTTCATGAAGGACAACATGTGGGCCTACGCGAACGCCGTGTCGACGGTGTGTGTGTCTGACGACGAAGTACGTCTCTGCGTCTCTGCATGTCTCCTTCCTGCTCAATGTTCGTGTTAGTCGTGCGAGAAGCTCCGTCTCGCTCTGGAGCAGCTTGAGGTGGAGCGGGACATGGAAAACTTCGTGCGCGATTATGGAACCGGAAACGCTATACCCGACCCCCCTCCCTTCATCGACTACACGAGCCCTGACGCACAACCTGCTTCCTCGCAACGTCCCAGTACACATACATCCAATTTCGCCCGGCAAACCCAGCGTCAGCGACAGGCACCCATGCCACTGAGCCAGCCTGAGCCTGAACCCGAGCCCCCTGTGGACATGACTGGAGTGGGAGCCGCGGCTCAGCCACCGCAACGGTCAGGTACCCAGAGTAGGGCGAGCACGCGCGGCGGAGATTATCCCCAACAGGCGAACGGCGCAGTCGGCAACGGACGGGTCACTCCTAACGTGGGCACTCGTCCTGCGGACCCCCACGCAGACCCGATTGACCCGACCGCGACGACGATGCTCCGGGTTGGACCAAACGCCTATGAGGTCAACCTCGACCGCGATCCACAGGCGAACGGCGTTTCTGCGGGTGCACCAAACTCTGCGGCTGCCCGAGTGGGACAGGATGACGACCCGTTACAGCGTCAGCTAAATGAGCTTCGCAATGCAGGCGGTGGAAGCGTACGGCGCAGCGGGCAGTGGAAGCCACAAACGACACAGTCGCCTCCTGGTGCGTCGGGGCTGTCACCGCCGCCCGGCACGACGCAGCGGAACCGTGACTATCGCAACTCGGCGGAGATCGTCGTTGGGTCGTATCCCGCAGCCGCGCCGCCAGCAGCGTCTCGTCCGACGTCGCCCAACATCACCAATGTGCACATGCGCCCGCCTTCAACGCAAGGTCCTCCCAGTTCGACGTCTGGCATCTCAGTCCAGAGCGTCCTCCAGGACTATCAGCAGTCCTTCCCTGGCGAGCGCAAGTCGATCAGCCGGTCCAACAGTCGCTCGAACAGCATATCCATACCCCAAGGATCAAGTATACGGGAGCGTCCCCTCAGCTCGGAAAGCGGCCAGGCGGGTATCGGCGCCCAGGGACGCAGCACCAGTCCTCAACCGTTCGCTCCGCTATCGCGCAGCGCGAGTCCTGCAATGCAGGGTCCTCCCGTGTCGAACCGCAACAGCTTCGGTCGTCCACCCGCCGGCGGACCTCCCCCCGGTGCGGGCCACGCACACTCTGGTTCTAATGTTCGGCAAGGTTCCATTTCCATCCCGTCGCAGCCTGCCCATCAACAGCGCCCAACAAGCCCTGGTATCGGTATTCAGCTGGACCCGAGCGGCCGTGTCGTCGCAGACGATATGGCCGCGATCTACCAACGCCAGCCTCAGCAGACACTCCCTGCCCAACCGCAACCTCCGTATGGGGCCCCACCACCCGTGCCTGCCGCGCAGCAGCCTATACAACGTCGCCCGAGCTACAACGCAGGACCGAACGGTGCGCCATTCGCTGGGGGACCACAGTATGGCGCTGGACAAGCGCCGGTATATAACCAGCCCCCGCAACAGTATGCTCCGCCTGTGCAGCCGCCCCAGCAGACATATGGTGCGCCGCCGCCTCAGCAGGGAGGATACACGCAGGGATATCAGCAGCAGCAGCCGGCTTATGGACAACAACAGCAGGGTGGTGCTCTTGTCCAACGTGGACCGTCGGTGAACGGGTATTTCCCTCAGCAGCCCCAGCAAGCACAACCTCTACAGCAGCAGCAACAGCAGCAACAGTACCGGGCGCCAAGTCCGCGCGCACCGTCACCTCAGCCTCAGGGTGGTCAGCCTCCGCCGACTGGACAATATACAGACGACGGGCGCGGCGTATTGTTCTACGGTAGGTTTATCCGTCCATTGTCTTTCTCCGCCTTGGTGGACCGATGTTCAATGCTGTCGTCTTCAGTCAAGGCAATGTACAACTACCGCGCGACGATAGACGAGGAGTTCGACTTCCAGGAAGGCGACATCATCGCCGTCACTGCTACCCCTGAGGACGGCTGGTGGAGCGGCGAGCTGCTCGATGAAACGCGGAGGCAGCCCGGGCGGCATATCTTCCCGAGCAACTTCGTCTGTCTATTCTGAGCACGCGCCGCAGAGGTGTGTTCGTCCTAATGCTTACTCTACTAGGATGCGCATTTCTTTCTCCATCCCGCATCTTCATGTTTTACATTCCCCCATTGATGGCTTTCCCTGATGTTCGTCGCGTACGGTCGTTCCTCCATCCGTACGGGTGCTGATGCCATGCCACGCTCCTTCCTCCCTACTTGTCTACTTTGCCAGTCGCCCGTTACGCTACATAAGTTAGGTTGTCGTCTTATGACGATATGCTCTCATCTCTCTCGTTGCCTCACGTCGACCGGTGGATTACATAGCTCTAATTTATTGCTCTCCATGTGTTTTACATGTCTCAGTTGTAGTTGTTTGTCAATGGCGTGTGCAGTAAGTTTCAATGTAAACTGGTGCATACTCCGAGGTGCAATGACTTACAGGATCTGCGGACTCGGTTGACGTCAGTGTTTCCTCAATCATGGTTGCTTACGTTGCGTATTCGTCCCCTTCACCACATATGGATACAAGCTACCTGCTGCAAGCCACTCAAAGAGATCACAACTAGGCGTAACAGGCTACCTCTCCACCTACCCACGCAGTTACGTGCTCGCTTTGCGCCTCTGGAAAAAATAGACAAATCTCCCGAGTGGACGCGAGCGTTTGAGGGAGTGCCGATGTTGTCGAATAGACTCCTTCGCCAACGGTTCCGAGCTGGAAATTCTGGCTCCTCATGGGTAGAGAACGGGTAAGGCGCCGATCCAGAACCGCTGGATGATATTCATATGAGCCGTGCAAACATGCAATTTTGTGGTATACATCTTGATATAACGTTTGTGAACAGGAACCCAATGGTGGCTATCAGAGATTGTTTTTATGCAGCAAGCTATGGTACAGGAGGACCAGAACGCAAGGGTGAGGGATTTATCCTGCGACTTATAAGCGCCTACGCAGAACTAGCATTAATTGTAGACACTACTCATTACTGCGGGCAGGATGCAATGAGAACAAAATACATTAGAGTGTATTTGCACGGTGATCTATCGAGGTGGCGCTGGTGAAAACGGGGCGCCACCCGATGAGAACTGTAGCGGATTCCACAGATGAAAACTCAATGAGGGCGGGTAATGAAAACGCTGATAATTATCCGTGCAAATACACTCTATTGAGGCCTCATGCATAGGGTTGAGAACACATTGCTGGTCTGCTATGCTTCATGGTCATGCCCCATGAGTAAGAGCTGCCATCGCTAGTAACATCTACCATACAAGGAAGGTGGTGGACACTCAGCTGTGCTTCGACGAAGCATGATATTCATTGTCAGAAACCGCACCGTCTCCAGGAATGAGACCTATTTCAGTGCACTGGCAGTGGTCGTTTGACGAAGAGGAAAAGATGGAAGCCGATTGTATCAACATAGCCTTGCTTGCCAACGATGCACCGGAGGTATATGATATGACCGGTAAGAGGCGAATGAAACAATGAATGGATCTGACAACCGCGTAACAACATGGAAGATTATCCCTGCAATGCTTCAGCAGTAGCAGCCATTTTACAAAAGGAAGGTGGATAGCAACTTGCTCGACTTTTTCCGTACTGGATGGGGACGATCATGCATACGTTCATTGTGTTGAGGAACCATCCTCGATGCGTTATGGGTCGCCGAACCAACGATCTGGAAGTTACCAACGCCGGCGTGTCCGCGTAGCCCAGTCGTGAGCAGTGATGGCCGCTCTACTGTACAAAGCCCGAAGATTCCACCTGTGAACCGTTGCATTAGTGGATCGTGTCTCCAGCATGGAAGGCGACGTGCCAATATTGCGAGGGGTTCAGTGAACGCACCTTCACCTACTACGCTTTCTCTGCGCGTGCACCAGCACATACACTTTTTGAATCGGTCTCGTTTGTTCCGAATACCGTCTTCGCCACCTGCCCCTCGGCATCCTGGATCTCAACTTCGACACGACCCACCCCTTCGGCCGACTGAAGCTCCTCATCCACGGCCTCACTCTTAGCATTCTCGTCCAAGTTCATCACTTCGACGAACCATCGCGCCCCTTCTTCCCAGCCCGCATTCTCGGCTTCACCCAAGGGCGAACGACCGGTGGCGTTTTTGATGTCGATTAGATCAACTCCGGGGCCCCCGGGGAACTGTACGAGCTTCTTGGCCACATCAAGATGCGCGTTGAGAGCTGCCCAGTGCAGCGCCGTCGAGCCTGCGTTGTTCCGCGCAGCGAGCAAAGAGGAGGGGACGAGGGGAAGGAGGAAGTTCAATGCGTCTGTTACCCACCTTTCGCGGATCAGTCTCGACCCTGCAGAGCAGCGGAGGCAAACAATACCGTACCTGTGTGCCCGTTTCCAGCAACCATGTGCAGGACGGTGTTCCCGCTGTCATCCCGCACGGTCGCGAACGCGTCTGACCCGAACTTGTCGACAAATTGCTGGATATCATCAACATCTCCATACCGTGCAGAGAGCAAGAGCTCTTCGAGATCCTCCGAGGTCGGTGTGGCAAGCGACATCTCGGATGGTGGCGAGAACAGGAGAGATGAGCGTCGGTGCACACGAAAATGATGACATGATCTTTGGACCACCGTCGCTTAGATAAACGCATTAAGCAATCGGTGATGCAGATGTACTATATGTACGTAGCCATCAAACATCCAGAACGACCCCCCACGGGATCACGTTTCAACGTCTCATCGTGGTCAGATGTCGGTTCCTATGCTAGGTCTCCGGATGTATCAGAGTCGCGAGCTCGGAAACGACGATACGACCGCGGATGGCTTGGGGTTTCTTGAAAAGGAATCGAGGTTAGCCTCCTATGAAAGCAACAATCTGACGGCTCTGACGCCTTGTCAAGATATCCTCATGACAGGCACGCGCGGGGGACTGAATATGATGGGTCATGTCGTGTCCCCGCCTGCGGCGTCCTCGCCTAAGATCCGTCTGATGCGCACCATGTGCAGCTGAACACTCTTTCTTGCAATGGACACCACGGTCCCTGGCAATGATATTACCTCCCCCCCGTCGCCAATGTCGCTCCCCAGCTTCACTTTGCTCATCCGCTTCCACGACCTACAAGGACATCTACACGTCCGCCCTCCCAGAGCTACTCAGTAGCGCGCAGGAGCTTCACTAACTGTGAGTATCACTTCACCCATTTACGCTTCTTCCGACCTGGTTGCTACCAAGCCGGATATCTGGAGTGACTGCACCAGAGTATGGGTTTCTATGCCCGATCGCCTGCGCTGTCCTCCAAACGACTGAGGACGAGTGTTTTGGGCAGAGCCTGCGTTCTTTGCCATCAGTCGCGGGTCCAACTTCGGCCGGAAGTCGGCCTCCCCCGCTGTACGCGGCTTGAAGTTGATCCTGGCTTTCTGTGGCTTCGGAAGGCACTTGTATGGCCTCAACGCGACAACCGAGCGCGGGAATCTTCCTGCTTTCGAGGTCGTTCGGTGAGAGGCACGAAGACCGCGACTACGGCATTGTACGCGGGTTTCATGTCTCTCTCCTCGACTACTTTGTCCAACCTCGTGGTCCTTGTGAGCGCTCGGGCGCAGGGACCTACGTTCTTGTCTGCACTCACTTGTGTGCTGCAGCGATCCTCATTCGCCTGTCTCAGAGATCAGGGAGCTCGTGCAAGTTGGGCCTCGAGGCAGTTGGGAACTTCGAAGAAGGGCATGACTTACAAGTCAAGATGGGCACAGACGCGAGAGGAGTTCGGGGATGTGCATTTGAGACGGGGCAAGTGATATGATTCAATTGTCGATGGCGGGGCACTGTGGCTTGCCAGCATCGATAAGCTCGACGCTCCGGGGCCGAGATGCAAACCGAGGGCTGCGCGTTGATGAAGTGACACCCAATGGGCTCCAGAATTAGCACTACTTCCCATTCCACGGTCCCTCTACCGCCTACGTCAAGAATGTACGCCACAGGGCTCGGGGAAGCTCTCTATCGGAGCGTTTCCCAGCTTGGTGTGATCATGGATCGATGCCATCCGCGCTGTTTCCAAGCTTTGGCAGACTCCATATCAGTGATCATGTCAGGGAGACCCATGCGTCGGAGTCTTGTGTTCCTCATATTACCATCCAGGCGTTGTTCCCGCCGCAATTCATACCTCTGTGGCGACCAACTCGAACTCCTCTGGACAGGCACTAACGGTCATTTCACAGTAATCCTTGCTTCGACTTCGATTCATTGTACATAATACTTCTGCAACATGTCCCACACGACGCCGGCGACCTACCTAGTCTGGTCAATAATGTCCACTCTGGTGCGCGTTGGGTACTATCGCATAAGAGTAGCTCGTAACTCATTATTGCACTGACAGCTTGGGATGTTTCTCGTTTTTCACCTATGGAAGTTTGACCGGTTCAAGTGCCTCAAGTAAGTAAGGCGCCACAAGCCAACTTGACGTTTTGACCGATCTGCATCTGTAGATTGAACAACGGTCCTTACTCCGGGGCCTTCAAACGACTGATGACAGTATGTCTTCATTTCCTTCCGCGACTTGTCAGAATATAATGACCGGCTGTTTCTCAGTATACGTATCTGTTGAGTGTCCCCGGGATTATAGCGTACGCCATAGGGTTCGCAGCCATCAAGTACCAGGAGGGCTTTGTGCAGCTTCTTCCTTCCGGCAGTAAGTGATACCACGCGGTAGTAGATTTCAGCTCACTCGTGCCAACAGTCATCCCTGTACCATGGCAACTGTGGACACAAACGCACAAGGCTGCCATCCTTCCTCTCTACCTGCTTTTCACGATCTCGTGGTCACTCGAAATGTACGTCGCCTCCGATTCACATGTTATCGCGTCCGGGAGACAAGACCCTGAGACTGATTCCCCGTACGCCACAGGGTAACGCATCTGGAAGAGCTCTGCTTTTGGCTCTTCCTGGTCAACTCTGGCTCGGTACAGCAGGACTGGTTCCGAAGCTTGTACTTCAGAACTTGGATCGTCGGCTCGATTGTCGCGGTCACGTACATGCCACTTGTTACCATTTTCACGCGGTCGGATCCTCTCAAGGTGCGCGCGCTGCTGTGAGTGAGTGTAGCGTCAGACGCTAATATCGCTCCATTCCGCAGTGCGAAGCGTACACGTTCTTGGCGGGTAGTTTGGGCAGCTTGTCACTCACGCTTTGGTTCATGCCAATTTTGTGGACATTCCCTGAGTTCATCGGCAACTTGGTGGGCTGAATAGAAACACGTTGGCTTGAAACTGTGCTGACGGTTCCGCATAGAAACGGAGCGGCGTCGATATTCGTACTATCGTCCGCCTGACGACATTCCATGAGTTGAACGTAAGCGAGACATGGCCTCGTGATACATCCTGGCTTTATTGACATCGCACGCATGCAGTGCATACGGGTTTTATTCCGCTTCCTGTTTGTAGTTCCCCTTCTTGTCCTCGCGGTGGATGGCGTGCGTCCACACCAGCACGTCAACGAGAGCCCGTACGTAGTATTATTAGCTTCCTTAGCCGCTGCACCAGCTTATGATGTTCACAGCTTCTGGACCGAGTTTCTTACTTCCGTGGCAGCCGTCGGCTGCGTTGTTTCCTCCGCAATCACGCTCGTTGTACGTGCTAATCGCCTCACATGGCCAGCTCACACGCTCACCTCCTCTCAGATCTTCTTCCCCCGCAATGTCGAAGGCGAGGTCCAGTCCCGCCACGCCACGCGCGAAAAGTCGCGCTCCCGCACCGCCGGCCAGGAGTACTCGCGCTTCTCCGATGACGCCCCGGGGCCGAAGCGATTCAGCTACGCAATGTCCGGCGCCAGCCCGCTGCCCGAGTATCCCCCGACGCTCGACGAGGAGTATCCCGCGCTGAAGAGCGCTACGCTCAGCGAGAGCCCTAGCGCGGTGTTCATGCCGAACCGGCGTGTCGCATCCGGGATTGTCATCGCTGGCCGCGTTGTCGACCCCACGCCGACGGGCTTGACGGAGGGCGCGCTTGCGGCTCACAACGAGAGTCTAAGCAACGTACATCCGTTCTTACACAACTTCACTTCTCCGATCGGTGCGTGGTTTTGCGCGAGCTTTGCCCTTGAGACGCAGTGTCTGACTGTGCTGCAGACATCATGGACGGTCCGCAGAAGCGCTGGTACGTGAAGCGGCAGAATGTAGGGCTCGCGGCTGTATGACCGTATCGCTTGACTCCTGCTTGTGCTTCGGTGCCAGTCCTTCCATGTTCGGAAGGAAAGTCTGGTGTTTGTGTACAATACGCTTCTCGGATACCTTCGGGTATCCGCCTCAATGTGACACTCGTTTCCTCGTTGCACATTACGGGGGTAAGGAGGAGCAACTCCGCATTGGTTATCGCTAAGATATGGTTTTGGTGAACCACGCGTCACCAACCTCCCGAACTCCACGTTGGGACCGCGCCACCCGTGCGGCAGCGGCCTGCTCATCGGTGATCAAAGAGAAGCCGACCACCCGTCGCTCGTCTTCCTTTCCCTCGACGACAAACTTGACTCTCCCTACCGAGATTTGCGAATCGTAGAATTCGAATGGCGTCGTGTTCTTTCCATAGCCCTGTGGGAAGAGTCGTGGGAAGATGAGCGCGAATGTGGTCCCCGTGGAATGCCTGAGCCGGACATGGCTCGACCACACCCGCGGCCACGCCGCGAGGAGGCTGGGCGAGGAAGGAGAGTGCGAGGAGCTGTCGACTGATGCGAAGTCTTCTAGGACGCGTATGCAGTACTCAGATGTACTCAACGGCGAGCAGAAGGTGATGCTGCCATAGAGGGGATCCTCGTACGTGCCGGCGTAGGCATCTAGGGTCAACGGCAAGGGTTCTGATCCTATCCCACCCTGTCCTGGTACCGCTGGTATGTTGTATCTGAAAGTATCGGGCACACTGCTCATTGGAAGAGTCATGAGGTCCAAAAAACAGGCGAGAAACAAAACGACTGACCTAACTTCATCCTCAGCATTCTGCGGCTGGCCCAAAGCCTCATCGATCACCCGATATAAGATCTTCATATTGTTCTCCTGCTTCTCGTCCATATTTGCGAGGAGCACAACGCCCAAGTTGCCACGCGGTAGGAATGCGACAAGCAGTGAGAATCCTGGGATCGCCCCGAAGTGCCACACCACGTCGTGTCCCTTATAGGCCATCCGGAACCAGCCCATTCCGTACCCTATGATGGATAAGGGCCCCTCTGGGATACCACTGACCACAGCACGAGTCGTGGTCATAGCCTCCAGGACGGAGGCCGGGATGATTGTGGCAGTTGTCAAGGGATCGACTCCCTTGTTAAGAAGCACAGCGAGCCATTTCGTCTGTAGTCGCAGTTCAGTTCCTGAACCCCCGATCTTTACGAAGTCCCGATTGCTTACCACGTCCTCCGCGCTCGAGATGATGCCGCCAGCCCCGGCAAAGAGGTCGGCAACTTCGTCCGAAAACCAAAATGGGACGCGACGCACGCCTCGCGTCCACGTCTGGGTCAACCGCCCGGTCTTTGCCGCCTTGGAGGGAGAGAATGTTGTCGAGTTCATGTGTAGGGGCGCAAAGATGCGCGAAGAGGCGAAGGACTGATACGACATGTTAGAAAGCCTGGAGACGATGTGTGCCCCCACCATGTACATCTGTCATCTTGACGATAAGGTCATATCTGTGCACTCCGAGAACGGACGCGCACCTGATTATTGTACATCCATTGTTCGCGCGGCTCATAGGCAGGCAAGAGGTGTCTCAGCCGCCAGAGCACTTCTGTGGCGGTATCTCCGGGCTTGTACGAAAAATCGTGCCTACAAACCTTGTTGATGAGTCGCATGCTCGCACACGGATATGTGTATTGTCACCTCGGCAAACCAGATAGATGCGAGAAAGCGTCACGCAAGCTCAAACTTACTTCGGCCCACTCGTCGTGTAGACTCCACTCGTCCGGGAGCAAGTCGCGAACCTTCGTATCCCAATCGAACCGTAATATCCCCGATGGAAGAGGCGTCACGTTACGCCCTTGCGCGAAGTCGTCCATGAGAAGCCCTAGCGAGGTCACCAGGAACGACTTCGAACATGACGCGATCGCGAAGAGGGCCTAGAAATTGGATGAGATGTGGGAATTGTGGGCGGTAGAAGGACACTGACATCTGGAGTCAAATCGTCCCCGTCGCCCTCCTCTGTCTGCCTTCCCCATGCTTCTAATTCAACCATGTGCTGACGATTCTCATCGAGGCGTACAACTCCCAAAGCCAAACCGGGAATGGTTGAGGTAGCAAGTGCATCCTCGATGAACGCGGAGACTGCTGGCGTGATGACCCTTCCGGAGGAATGCGGGACATAGAAAGCCGCTTGCTCCCCAGAGGTCTGGGCAGTCGTCAACACGACTACTCGCGGAACTAGGCCGCTGAGCCAGAGAGCAATAACAGAGGCTCGCATGTTGACTATTGTAGTACGACACGACGCGGTTAGCACGACTTCGTCCTCATAAGCATATGGGCGCTGCTACGGGGATCACGTCGCTCCGTCATTCCCAATTATATGGTGCTACTTCGGCAGCGCTCCGGACACTTCGGTGCATTCCTCATCCTCGCAAGACCTACCATTGATGCCAAATTCCTACACATTCAGCCACCTGGATGGGGTTACAAGCGGGAAAAGACTCCGGAGAGTTGTGTTAAACTGTGTGACTGCAGAACAACCATTGGCTAAGATTCAAGCTTAAACGATATATTCCACATACTACGCTATTGTATGCTATAATCCATCAGACATACGCCCAACTCGCTGGTCCACCGAGGTACAGCTCCGAAGAGATATGCCAGCAGTGTACCAAACGTCCTCGAGACCGCACAAGGCGGCCATGTTCTCGGTTATACGAGCGGGCGCTGGTGTCATCGACTGGATTCGAAGGATGTGGCATGTGTAAACATGCGAGACTCGAGTTAGTACCTATAAAATAGATCCTAGCTGAGTATGTTCTGAGGGAACAGCGAAAGCAGGGGGCGGGGCTATATAGGCGGCAAGTTTAGGGCAGGCGGACAAAGACATGGTCCGTGCAAATTTTCTAATCTACACACAGGCGCTGATATTGAAGACCAAGACTACCCGTGTGCCGGACGTGCTTATCCAGCGCGCATCGAAAGTGTAGGAGCATAAGACCTCCGACAAAAAGCTTTGATGTATGTATAATTAGAGCTACTATTTTTACCGATACATTGAAGGTCATTGACTCCCTGATGGAGCCGTGAGGTCGTGAAGGTCGTCGTCCAACTTCTACGAAACACCGGCGCATTGAGCGGGCACAGTGTACGAAGCTACACTATCCCCGCGATTAGAAACGTTAGGAGAGATTGCGATAAACCAATCAAGCATCTTGGGGCCCCCACGTCTCTGGTCAAGCACGCTTACCTGACGGGCCGGAGCAAGATCAAGAAAAGAGGTCCTGGAGACTACTTTCCCGATACTTCATCTCCTCGTGTCTCCCGCTTGTAAGCCACTCCTCTAAACCATATCTCGCGCTCACGGCTCAACGAGAGGAAGAGTGTCTATCCATCCTTACCTCTCCCCTGAGCTATGGAGCGTTGTACCGCCACTTGGCGTCGTACACGCCATCCATGTCGACATCATCGCCCCCCTCGTACTCGTCGAGGACGCGGAAGACGTTTTCGTCCGGAAGATGAGGCGCAGCGTCGCGCATCGTGCGTATCGTGCCCCGCACGCGTTTTATCTCCTCGCGCAGCGCGTACCGACGCATGCGACCCTCCTGCCTCGCCGTACGCTCTTCCCTTCGGCGGCGGCGCTCCTCGGCTGCCTGCGCACGGGCGAGGGTGCGCGCGTTCGTCAGTTCGGTCCTCAGTGAGAGCAAACGAAGCTTCTCGTGCGAAAGCTGTAGCAAATATTCCAGTCAGCGAGAAATCGCGGCGATGCCGGGAGACACAGTGGCTAGAGAGATGCAAAGACGCACCAAAACCCTCCGCGCAAGATCTGTGAATTTGACCTGGTATGTGGCGAGCTTCTTCAGGATGCCCTCGAGGCGGTGGATGCGGGGGGGCTTATCCTCGACGTGTCGCGCGAGCATGTAGAATTGATGCATGTTACGGTAGAGCGAGTGCACGACGTTGCAGTGATTGGTGTACCATGTCTGCCTCTCTTCTGATCCGTCCATGACGAAGTCCCTTGGAGTGCCGTCCAAAGCTCGTTGTACCGTCGCGAACGCTACCCGGAGGTCGTCGCACAGCGCAGTAATCGAATCAGGATCACGCAGTAAGCCGCAGGAGCGCAGTGACTGCTCCGCAGAGACAGTCAGTACACAAAATGAGTTGATCATAAATCTGCTCACCAGAGAGGCGCGCGCGATGGTCTCGGAGCACTTCTCCCCCCACAAAGCAAGGCTTTCGGTGTCTAGCTCAAACCGCAAGTCTGCATGCTGCGGGTACGCAGCTTGCTCTGAACTCTCATACGAGAAGGAAGGAGGAGGAGGAGCAAAAGAGTGCAGATGGTCAGGGAGCTCCGGAAGCGGATTGCACCCCATGCGCGGGGGTGCCGGTGGCGCAGTGTCGTGAGGCAAGCCGGGGGTAAGCTGCGACAGGCTTCCTGTCAACTCGCCAATAGAGGCTCTCAGCGGGGTCGCGGGAACGGTATACGCCATGTTCAAGGATGCTCTATGAACGGTGCATTTCGCGGACTTCGGCACGCAAATAGGGGAGAGCGGGCTATCCAGCGCACGGGACACGGTATGCCGCCAGGATAGGAGGTCGACGTGCCACGTATCTGCGGTAGCTTCCGTTGCGGCGTTGATGTCTGTGTTCGCGTGCGTGCGTGTCTGTGCGTAGCTGGCAGCGTTCTGGGAGTCCCCGGCCGGGAACACGAGCGAGGTCGGATCGGTGGACATGGGAGCCATAGCAGACGAGACGGACGGGCCGGGGGTGCAATCGGTCGGAGGAGAAACTGATGGAGGCTGCGAGCAATCGAGACTCGGGATTGCAGGAATGCGATCGATATCGAAGGGAGACGAGAGATCTTGGCAAGTCGCAAGTGGGATGTTTGCGAACAGTTCGGACGGTGGAGTATGCTGCATATTTGCCGGGACAGGTGCGGGCGCGGGTGTGAAGGGGGACGTGGGCGTAAGGAGAGCTCTGCGGGGCGTAGACGGCGTGAGCTGCAGCGCTGCGGGAGCGAGGCGTCGCAGGCGCCGCGAGTGCCTAGAGCGCGATTGTGATTGCGACTTCGCATGTGCTTGTGCATTCGTATGCGTATGAGGATCGGGATATGCACGCGGGTGTGGTCCCGGGCTTGGGGTGAGCCCCAGCAACAAGCCAAGGCCCGCTTTCGAGAGCCTATCGCCATGAACCATCTCCCCCGCATCCACCTCCATCTTGACATCCGCGGGAGCGACGGAGGTACCCGGAACCGGACTGGGGCGTGCATGATTTGCACCCCAATACGAAAGCACGGACGCAAGGGGGACTCGAGGCACAGGTGCCGCGACCTTGAACGACATGGTGGACTGGGGAGACCGGCGGGAACGGAAGCGATGAGAGGAAAAATGAGACCTCTGTGTTGACACCGAAGGAATGTGCATGGTATAGGACGGCGGTGGAGGCGTGGCGCAGGGGCGGCGAGGTGCGGGGATCGCGTTAGGGTCGTTATGACTGTTAGCTTGGCCAGTAGGATCGGGTGGAGCAGATGTTTCTAGTGTGGCTGGAGGCTGTGCAACAATGTTTGTGTTGTGATTTTCTGAAGGATCATCAATTATATCGAGGATTCCCAAGAGACGGCGGGATGCATTGTAGATCTCAGCGGAAGACAAGGCGTCTAGGGGGGCGCACGAGAGCGGGCCGACTTTCGGGGAAGATCGCCGCCGTAAGAGCTCGCAGTCCAGAATGGAGGGCGAGTCGATGGCCTTGATGATTGAAGGAACGTCGGAGGAGGGGGGCGTAGGAGGGAGGGCGTGGATCGGGTTCAAGGTGTTGAGGCCAGCCATGTTGTGCGTGCGTGGGTCGTCAATTGGAGAGAAGCGTCCGTGTATGGTGAGAATGGGGAGAAGCACGGGGAAAGGGAAATGAAGGAGAAATCCGGACTCTAGCCGCGCTCTGCGCGATAATGTTTGGTTGGAGTCTCTTCCCTGGCTCCTCGACGATATAAGTCGGTTTGTGGGTCCCAGCTTGGCCCCTGTTTGTCCTCAGTGGCGCCGGCTCCCCTTGAAAAACAGATTTCCATCGTCAAGGGCGCAGGCGACACAGTGAACCAGAAAGCAGAATACAACAGACTGTCCAGGGCATCAAGTTTCGGGCGAGCGCCTGCCTCGGCACCCCTGACCGCGAGGCGAACGGATTGGGATGGTCTTGTCCTCGTGTAACCGATGTGTCTAGAAACTGCGGAAAGCTTCCCATGTCTCGGGTATGACACGCACGACACGTGAGGTTGTTGTTCTAATTGCGCACCGAATCCGATCTCGTGTCTGAGAGAATGCTGATGTCGTGTTCGATGCATCGTCGAGATACGGCGAACCTTCCTCTCAATACCTCGACCTCGATATTACCTGTATCAAAACGCAAGCCACGACCGTTCAATCTCGAATATCAATCACAGGCCATGTCTGCTAGAAGCTCCGTTGGAAATGATTCACTAACTCCAAGACATGGTGCTGGCCTTCGTAGCGTCCACGACACGGCTTGACAGTTGGGACAGCTGTCATATTAACGTCGGGTCACCTGGGACTCTGCTACCTACGCACTGTATGGCAATGCGTTCACGACGCTGAAGGTTCCTTCTGTGGACGCAGGTCACTTGTCTAGTAGAAGTGGACCTGCCGCTCCGCTCGTACTTGCAGCCCTAGTACTTGCATCGTTGCACGTCCGCAGTACTTATTGAGACGGTTATTGATTGCAGGAGTTCACGTCGAGACGAAGTGAAGAAGAGGGGGTGGTGGTGGTTGGGATTGTGAAGGAACTGAACCGCGCGCAGTTCAGCCACCTGGGCCGCTCACTACTTGCCTTTCTTCCACCATATTCTGTTGCGAAACCCTCACAGCATATCCCTATTGCAGCATGCCTCATGAGCAATTGACCGCGCTCTTAGCCTCATTGATACCTCTTATACCTCTATTCCACTGGCGCGTAGATCCCTTGCACATCGCCTGGGGTAGCACGACCGCTAACACCGAGACATACGCCCCGAAGTACCTTCAATCGGCCGCTCTTAACCAAGAAGCTCTTGATGGACTATTTGGACATGCACGAAGCGTCAGATGCGCTCTTGGTCTACGTTGGTTACAAGAGGCCGTCACCTTGCCCTCGGACACGCCTCTTCCCGGTCTGGAAGCTCTCGAAGCGATCCGCACCCACTTCGTTGACAATGTTGCAGCGCCTTCCCTCGTCGTCTGGGCGATTGGCTTCGCGACTCTGGCACTGCTTTTGTTGTGGGACGTCGCTAGTACTTCCGCACTGGACTGGGGGCCGAACTCTAACGCGTCTAGGAGGTCAGGCGATCCGGTCACAAACCCTAGGTTCGTGACGCCTTCTGATGGGTGTCTCGAAACGAGCCTCTCCTACCACCCTCCAGAACGATGGCATGCAGCATCCGTGTCAGACAAATCTGGCGAAACGCCGACATTGTCTTCCCCCACTCCGTCTGGCGATCTTGTCAACTTTGGAGCAACGGCTGGTTCTGCTTCCTCACAGCCAGTCCCTCCTACCTTGCTCTCCAGCTATACCCCGCTATCTCTCCCCTCAGGGCTTACATCTACGGTCGTTCCATCTCTCGTCTCGCCAGAAGCAGCTCAAAGCACCCACCTCGCAGGACACGACGTGCCACCAAACAGCACTCAAGCGGCGGGCACAAAAGTTGATAGAGACGTCCCTCAGTACCACGCCCGGATGCTAAGCAGTATCACGGAGATCAGTGAGCCGGGAGAATCCGATCGGTCCGTCTCGGGGACCCCTCGCGTCCAATGGTTCTCGAGTATCCATGGACGGTTCGCAAGTTTGGACACTCACGACCTAACCCTCCAGATGCAGGCTCGCTCCGAAGGCACCACTCCGTCGTCCAGCCCTGATGTTCACGTTGCGTTCGGCTCCGGTTGGTCGCTGATAGGTGCTCCCTCCGAGGTCCATGAACCCCTCCAACTCAATGCATCTCCTGATATGCATGAGGACATCGGCCCTGAAGGCGGCCTGACCTGCGTCTCCGATCACTCTTTGGGCGTTGGGATCCCCGCGCTTCCTGTGCCTCCTGCTTTCGGTGGCATAGCTCCGTTGGGCCTGGATCGCGAGCCCGCATCCGAGGCGGATACCCAATGGCATTTGGACGTCAGCCCCGGACCCCGACCTTCCGACGACGGCGTCGCCGTGCCAGCATTAGCTACATCTTGCACGAATGCGGACACATACCATGAGAGTCTGATGGAGCCCACGTGGAACACGCCTCCAGCGTCGTCATCGGATTTGCTGCCCTTGGATACTGAAGAGACATTAGTTGTGGCGCCTATCTGTGCGGCCCTTGGTGCTACTCCTGCCAGGATGACTTCTCCGGGCCCGGCTCTTGCCAATATAGCTACGTCCGATGCATGCGAGGTGGTTCGTGCCGGGGCCTCCCTGCCGGTTCCATCTGCGTATCCTATACGGAGCTCGTCGTCAACCGTGGTACCCGTGAGCGCCAGTCCTGAGCCATCCGTGCTTCTGTCTGCGCCAACTCAGCCTCCTGTGGTAGCTACTTCCCCGAGACCTATGGTGACGCATATTCGTCGCACCAGCAGGGTGAGTAACATCGCTGTTCAACTCAATGCGAACGTCCTCAGTATCGTTGTCTTTCAGATATTGGTGGCTCGCACTGGCATCGCCGGTCAGCAAGTCGCGCTTACCGACGCAGGTCTGGCTTGTGCCGTAGGACTCCTAGACAAGCCACTGCCGCTTGACGAAGATGTTCGAGGGGAGCGTAGGCGGATGGAACGGGTCACGGATACACTTCTGGAAAGTCACTCTGCGGATAGGTGAAGCAATGCGTCCTAACCCTCTTGATTGTCGCATTCTGCTGATCGTAATACTTCAATCCGCTATAGAGGCCTGCCTCGCGATAAGTACGAGGTGATACACGAGCTACAATATACCATCGGTCCGATTCCTTCCAGAGTCGAGCGCAATATCGTCGATGCAGAGCGTCATCCCCCGTTGCAAAGCGATCCGCATGTCAGAGTACCTGTGTGCGAGCTGGGTAGAAGTCGCAGCTCGAAGCATCCCCACTCCACAACGAATGTCGTCTTAGTGAGACTGCCCTCTGTTTCGTCTTTGACGCAAGACGTCCGCGCTCCAGCCTCTCTAGCCCTGACTGGCGAGGGCAGTGTCACTCGTAGCCGCTCCTTATCCGACGCAGCTGGTATGGTGGCAGACGTCATAGGTGAAGGCCTTCGTCCATCGTACGTCCAGCTAGTCTTGGCTCTTCTATACCAACTCAAGCTTACGTATTGCACTCAAGTTATGCTACTATAGCTGCGACCGCTCCTTCGAACCCTCTGCTTCCCCCACGCGTGCGCTCGCAGCAGGCATCATCAGCGTCTATGCCACCCAGTGGAACAAGCAAACCCAAAGCGAGGAAGAGAGAGCCTTCTTTCTCAACGCCAGCAAAAAAGTTGCGGACTATTTCTGCGCCCGCTTCCTGTCCTACTCTTCCGTCCGCTGCTTCCTCTGGCTCCCATGCCGTTCCCAGAGTCTCTCGGTATCGATCAGGCTGGCGCAACGGAAATCGCTGGAGCGCCCTTTTGTTCTCACCGCCCTTATCTTCGAGCGAGGAGTCTAGGACGAGGACGCTTGACAAAGGAAAGGCCCGCGGTCAAGAGCATCTTGAGCTTGTTATGGAATCTCCTTTAGCGTCAAGCCGGGGTGCTCCTGAGGCGAACAGATGGCCCGATTCGGCTATCCTGAAAGAGTCGATGCTAGCTTCTTTGGCTATGGTGGGCAAGACGCCGGCAACAACCTCGTCTTTCTCTGCCGTCTCAGAGATGCGAGCTGTATCTGCTGGCAACGCGAGGATGCACGGCAGCTTGCTCTCCGCTGCTTCTCGCGTCAGGCTGCGGGACCTTGCACGCCAGGCGAGATGCGGGGTTGTCGCTCCATTGGTCAATGCTGCGTCTACTTCGGTTACCTCTAGCTCCTCCGTCGCGCCGATCCTCAACAACGACCTTGTTTCTGGACTACTGGCTACTTCTGTTTCTAGGGCGACTTCTACCAATGACTCTAGCTCTTGTGGCCATGACTTCGTTCCCAGCTCAGGCCCCTGTGATGCTTCTGCTTCCTCCTCTTACGGTCTGTCTGCGGTCTTGGATGTAGAGATGGCCTCCTTATGCAACGAGGGGAATGCCGACGTCTCCGACGCTTCCAGTGAGTTCGCCGCTACGTCAGCGCTCACCCGACCTGTTCGCGACAGATGCTCTCTCGTCGTCGGTGACAGTGCACATATGTCGACATCCCATGACACTTCCTTGAGGGAGCCTGCGTTTCTGCTTCCTCCGCTATCAGATTTCGACCTGCATTTCATGTCAAAGGCTATGGACGAACGTGCTAGTCTGGTGATAGCAAGTCAAGACGACGGGAAATCCGAGCCGACTGGACGTGGCGAAGCAATCGTACGGCTGAAGGCATCTGGCACGCGAGTCTTGTGGCCCCAGTGTCCACCCCACTCTAGGCGACGGTAATGCGCGAACGCTGGCGAGGAGAAATGCTGTTCAGATTTCCACGACGCGTTCGGGTATGTGTGTCCTTGTGCAACATTCGATGGGCGTTCGTTTGGGCATCAGGAAAAATTATACTTGCCTCGAAAGAGGTATAGATGCTCCAGAGACCGATTAGACAGTCGAGGCAAGTACCCTGTTATGGAGACCAGCATAGCTCCCACTAGCGCCTCAAGAGGTCGCACGAGATCTACCTAGAAGCTCTCGAGTACTATCGAGTACTCCCAAGCGGGCATCAAGACATTGATAGACATGGTATCATAGCATGCACGCCCCTCACGAATCATCCATATGAACACAGAAACCAATATCATTCAAAGACTATAATACCCGCAGTATAAAAGCCACGCTACTAATCGTTGTAGTACACTAGTTCCCTCGAGTCCGAGTCCAAAGCGACCTTGCTCCGCCTCATCTTCGCTGTCAGTCCACCCTGTGCACGCTTCAAGCTTGGCATTTGCAACCTTCGTCGCTGCGTTTGTGACTTGCACAGTATGGGTGTCCAGTACAACGCCACTGCCACCACAACTACACCAACACGAGTCTATGGGGCAACTAACACAAGCAAAACGATGGCTTACCATCTACTCATTGCAGACCAATATGAACTCATCAAGAATAGACCAGAATTTAATGGTACCGCAGTCTAATAAACCGAGGAGACATACGAGCAGGGCTTGATAGATGAAAAACTCACAATAAACTCTGATGGTTCACTCACAGCGAGCTCAGGTACTCAAAGCCCATGAATCAAACCGGACGACAGAGTGGGGTCATGGAGGAGGGGGGAAGACGTCAAAGTAGTGGAGGCAACGCCAGCATTAACGGGCATGTTGATGTTGCCACGTGGGGTTTAGGGCCGGTCGTTGAAAACTTTGCGCATTTATTGTACTGCTCTACTCGCACAAGAGGAGATCCTGTGACTAGATTCTGCATGGCAGCGACTACACCGCCGGGCGACTCCAGATATCAAAATGGTCTTAGGAGGCAACCTTATAGATCACGTATGTCCAATATCATAAGACCGAGATGCGCGCCATACGGGATGGGTATCAGCCGCCTATATTGGTGCCACATGGTGGCTGACATCGATGAAGTCTCATCCCGTTGTCTCTATGATACTTCCTCTCTGACATTGTTCTCATACCGGGCTCATACTGTGATGATATTGTGAACTGCATCAAGTATATGTCTGAGCACGCCATCGCCTCTCGGCCAATCTTTCCGCTTTCCGGCGGACACGTGAAGGTTTGGGCTTGTTGCGAGGTATAAAGTTTTCGACGACGTCGGACTTACGGCAAGAATCATCTTTGTCCTCACCATCCTCGACCTTCACTGCACCTGTGGTCTACCTGCATCTCCATCCCTTGGTCCAGTACGGTTCGTCTCTGCCATCATTCTCTATCCCTTGCGTGTGGTACGCCCTTTAAGGCAGTTGCTCATCATTCTGTATAGTAGTCAATTGAGGAGGAAGATTCGGTGATTCACATCGCCTTTCCTTTGGTATGTTCTGCCCTTTGAATCATCTTGATCCACGCAGGACTTATGTGTTGTGCAGTTAGCGTTGTCTCAGTATATGGGGCCAGCAGCCAAGCGGGCAGGCTTTGTGACACGCAGGAGTCCGGGGTTGGTGTCGTCGAGCAGGTGAGTCGAGCAAATCGTGTACGTGCTTTTGGAATCCCTCGATTTGTACATCTGCTGACCAGCAACATCGGCTGCCAGACTCGCCATGCTCACGCGAGCAGGACAGCGGGAAGGAGACAGAACAGGAGGGCGTCCGAGGGGACCAGGTATCGTGTTGGGCCAGTATCCCATGTCGTTCCGTGTAACACGCATCCTGTACATATTATGTAGTCTGTAACACGCTCAATATATTCATATTTGAATTCTACACCTATATGATTCGATGGCGATTATTCGAACATGAGGGATTGTGGGCGGAAGCTGGCGTAAAACCCGGCAGCTAATCAAACGGGCGCCATCGGAACCATGTAGAGTCGATAAAGGGGAGAACATGGACTATAGACAGGGGCGACCTGAATGGCATATGGGATCAGCGGTATGGGATCAAGAAGGTCTAATGTTATATTGATGGGAGGTACCCCGTGGATAGAGATTCGATATGGCCGACGATATGTGATCGGCCTCTCCCGACGATATCTGACACTTATCGCTCTCGCCCGGCGGTGTACACACTGGTTCTACAGGTGCAGGACAAGTCCCATGAGTAGAAAGGGAGCAGCGGGCGATTGTCATCACTTGACGGCGTCCTCGGAACCTCGGCTGGGCTTCCGAGCGCTCGCAAGCTGATAGGCACGACTCGAGAGGGCTCGCGATGCTCGGGAGCTCTGGTGGGGTCTCGCAATGTTCGGGAACTCCGGTGGGGGGCTCGCGAGAAATAGTTTTTTTCCTGATGGGTGTGCATAACGCTGCGTGGCGAAGACTGTAGGGGAGCGACTTGGGGAAGCGTTTCCGAGGGGCAACATAGGGCTAGAGAAAGGTGTTGGAGGAGCTGTGGACCGCGCGACGACGGGGGTCGTCGGCGAATGGGTGCAGGGCGGCTTCAGTCCCAGCTCGAGGTCTACGTGGTGGCGAAGAGAGCAGAGTTAATCGACGAAATCACTTAAGTTCTAAGTAAGACGGGTTCATTTGGTGAGTCTCGCAGGAGCCTGGTATGAGCTAGGACGCATGTTTCGCAATCCAGATCTTTCCATTCGTCGACACATCGCTATCTTTGGAGACTTTGTTATTATGCATTAGTTTAATGTCTAAGGTTGGCCCAACGAAGATTCGACACCTCCCGTCACGCCTGTCACACTGTCCGTGTCCCGCCCCTCCACTGCGATTCCGGGGTATCGGCTCGTATAAAATTGAGCTATAGGCTCTGTGGTACCATACATGCCGCCTATCCAAGTTTTTTCCTCAATGCAGAGGGAGGGGAAAGCAGCGAGGGACCTCGCAAGCTCACGTGATAATCACGTGATGGGGTCGAATCTTCGTTGGGCCAACCTTACTATCGCGACCCCAGTGTTCGGACAAAAAGGCGCCCTCTGCGAATTCCCTTCGTTTTATGTACTTTCCTGTACTCCGATAATGCTCATTTTTGGCATGCAAAAGGAGATGCATATGCATAGACTATGTGCCAAACATGAGAAATATTGAAGGAGACACGAGCGATGGAGGCAGGATATACAGGGCCTGACCCCAGTGTTCGGACAATTCTCCGCACAGCAGGTCACGATCTGTCACGCTTGCCGACACCTGCCGGTCTTCGGGGAATCCCCGTTCTCCAGCTTGATGAGCCTTAGCCGAGCATCCCGAGCAAGTCGGAGAGTCAAACTGTGGCTGCATTGTCA